TCGTGCTCGTACGGCGAGGTATCCAATTATGCTGTCGGCGTAAATCTGATTCTGTCTATACTCGTATATAATAAATGACTTTATTCCGCGTTGGTGAACAACGGAGTTAAATAAGTCAAATACGAGAATGGAATTAGGATACATATATTTTCTACAGTCATTGATCTGGCCAGAGAATCAGAGTGATGAAGCGAATGAAAGCAAACGAAGCGAAAATGACATGCAGTGGAGATGGCTGAGAAGCCAACTCAATTTAAGCAAGCGTTAACCAACATTTATAGTCGGACAAAAATGAGTGACAGACATACGATGAATAAGATACGAAGTGTGCACACATATACGCTCATATAAAAATATAGTCAAGGTTAATAAGCAAATGATTAACAAGATCAAAATATGACTCATGATAGGCGAAATGGCTTGGCCAGCAACTAGAATAAAGTATATGGGCTTAACAAATAAACTGATACTACAGGCTCTCAGGATTCCATGTGAGGGCTTGCCTTGTTGCACAGTTGGGTGATTTCGTCAATGTGTGTCCTATCAACTTCTGGCGCTTCTTCCTGATTTATTCCTTCACTGGAATCTGGTTTGTTCTCTCCCATAGTAGAATGTTGCTGATAGTGTCTGGCCAACAGATCCGAAATCTCTTGCGTAGACAAATGTTAATAAACACCTGTATCTTCTGGATGATGGCCTACGTAGTTCTCCACGTCTCCGCCCCATACAGTAGAACTGTCTTCAAATTTGTATTGAAAATTCTAACCTTGGTGTTGGTTGACAATTGTTTTGAGTTCCAGATGTTCTCCGACTGTAAATATGCCGTTCTTGCTTTGCCGATCCTCGCCCTCACATCTGCATCTGACCCACCATGTTCATCAATGATGCTGCCCAGATATGTAAGGGTTTCCACATCCTTCAAAGCTTCCCCGTCAAGAGTAATTCGATCGGTGCATGTTATATTGTATTGGAGAATCTTGCTTTTCCCTTTGCTTATATTGAGACCTACTGCTGCTGCTACACTGGTCGTCTTCTGCTGCGTGTGTGATAGAAGAGTCAGATAATCTGTGAAGTCTAGATCGTCAAGTTTCATCCTGCCTGTCCACTGTATCCCGTGCTTTCCTCCAGATGTTGACGTCTTCATGATCCAGTCGATTACCAGGAGAAAAAGAAAGAGTAAGCAACCTTGCCTGACACCAGTACTTGATACTAATCCACTTGTCTACATTTTCGAAATTCGACCTGTTATATGTAGAATGTGATTATGTTTTATTTACATCGGTTGACTATCGTCCTTTATTTACGCTCAACATAAGGTCCATTATTTCGTAGCTATACAATACAATTCAATGTAGTAAACTAGAAATGCAATTCATCACTCACTAACCTAGATATATATTAAAAATACTATGTATTTCCTTTGAAGTATTTTTTTAATATCTTGGTGTAGACATTTTCTTTTCTTCTACCGAGATTTGTAAATGATCACATTCCAATGATTGGAACACCACCGGAATTGACAAATGAGAATATATTTTTCAAACATGGTTTATATTATTCAATCAATAAGTCATCTGGATCATAAAACAAAGCAGATACATGCATTGTATCAAATTGACATACTACATTAGCTCAAACGAGATGAAATATTCAAGACAATGCTAGGACTAGTAAAATTCAAAACAGTAGTAAACATAAGGTATAGATGATATAATTGGAATAGAATGAGGTCATGGAATCAAAAAAACAAAACAAAAACAATCCAAATCAATGGAAAACAAACACAATCAATACCATCTATGTAATAAGACTGGTCACGCAATATCAGATCATAAGATTGACGACTAAGAATAGAGAACCAAAGTAAAGACTAGATAATACTTTATTCAACACAGTTACATATAGTCACTCTCAGTGAGTCCAGAGTAAAAATAAATGAGAAGAAAGGAAATCACATATTTGATGATCAATAAGTTAAGTGCCTGTTTGTCCACACTCAACGACTAATTATATTTTATTTACATTATAACAGATCAAAACCATTCAGTATAAAGATAAAAAAATAATAATGAACCTCAGCTTCTGCTTCACATTATTATATTCTCTATGACAAATATCCTTCAAAAACATGTAATACTTATCTTTCCAAACAATCTATGTTTATACCTCTAAGGTTTAACATGCTATATTCTTTAGTGAAGTAACCTCATCAAACCTGTACACCAACATGGATTCTATAACTGTTTTGAGAATAGATGGATAGTGGCTAGCAGTGGAATCTAGTTTGACGCGCGTTTCGTCCTATTTTGGGACTCGTCAGCTGGACATACTTGTATCTCAGAGTTGATGTTCACTCTGGGACTCGAACCCAGTAGCTTTCGCTTCAAACGCCATCGTTTTATCCACTTAGGTACTGAGTTCTGATAGCCACTTGCTTATGCAATGGGGTGAAGTTTAAATTCACTTGGTATTGTTTACTTGTATCTTTCTATTGTTATTTTGGACTGTAATTGATCAGTCCCTTTTTGGTATATATGCATTGGACGAAACGCACACCCTGGATTCCACTGCTAGCTAATATCCATCTTTGCTTATAAAGCTTGCGACTTCAGGCAATATCGAGGCAGTTCGCACAGGATCCACATATGCCAACAAGAGACTGATCAATTGCAGTCCTAAATAACAATGGCAAGATACAAGTAAACATCATCAAGTGTTTTCAGAATATTTATTTATTTGATGATTCACATTGATAAATAAATAAATAATGATGTTCAAGTATGAAAGATTTGATCTTTGTAATGACTTGTATGGACTTTTTATTACGTTCAAAGTGAGTTTATTCTATACACTCAATAAGTGACAAGTGCAAATATATCACTTGTAACGTAGATCATTCTTAAATATATATGTCCTTGGTTTAACTGAATATCTATTATCTGTAGAATATACATTATTTGACTTATATGTAAACAGAATCACGCTTTATCGTTCGTCTACTACTCATGGGTATATAAGCAGATATTCAAAATGCATTTCATATTCGACTTTTATTTTCTGTTTTATTAACGTGATTAGTCGATAGAAGACATATGCATTTAAAAACGATAAATATCTCATTAGTATTAGCGTCCTCTGATCATCATGAAATTAACATGGTGCTTCCACCTTATTACTTCTGACAAAAATCCATTGATACAGACTGTTATATCCTAATGAAGAATAAATGAATGATAACTTATAGGAATTATATATGGACTATTATTACTTTTATTCTTATTGGATATCTGTTAAGCAATTATAATATATGTATATTCATATTCCTTTGACTATAAGCTTCCATTTGACTTATTAACTACTATTATACGATTTACTAATCTTAAGTTATCCTAAATCTTGGAAAACCTAGAAGCATTGGACGGCCGTTTCATTCTATTGTGGGACTCCTCAGCAGTGCGCATCCACGATCCCGCCTCACGAGATTCGAACCACTGGTAGGTCCGGGGTTCGAATATTTGATGGTTAAAGTTTGACAATAATGATAGGTATGTAAGTAATATCTTTAAATGAAATAGTCATTAATCAATAAGAGGCGTGGTCGTGGATGCGCACTGCTGAGGAGTCTCACAATAGGATGAAACGGCCGTCCATTGCTTCCAGGTTTTCTTTGGTGGTCTAGCTTCAATTGACACATGATCTCAACTATATAAAAAATTACTGAAATCTCCACAAAACCCCCTTCTGATTATCCTCAATCTATTAATTACAGCCTCTCACATTCACAGCCACTTTTAGCTTGATCTTGTATAATTGTTATTTTTTTATTTTATGGTATTATGAGGTCTGATTTGTTTGTTTATAAACCGCATGTGTCAGAAATAAATGATTCATACAATCGACACTGAGATTGTTTTCTGGACTTAATAGGCAAGGCAAAGGCAAGAGGAACCAATAAGGACTAAGAGTTGACACTAAGCTTCTCGTACTGATTAACACGTCATTGACTTGGCACAGTGCCAAGGTCATATAAGTCGATGTTCGAATTGGTGGTTTAGTCACGTGATAATTAACCAGATAAGAGCCATAACACAGACTGAGTGTACACAAGCAACGGAAAACACTGAAATCTAGTAGAATAAGTATTTTTTTTCCATATCTCATTTGATATAGAAAGTTTAATTATGTTACACATGATTATTATGTAAGTACAAATATGAGAAATCATTAAAAGATAAATAAATAAACAAATAAAGGGAGATGTATATCGTCGTGTGAAGGACAAATACAAAAAGGGGCAACAATCGCATACAAAACATATAAGCACAAAATAGAAATATGAAGATTACATTACAAAAAAGGTAATTTCTAGTTGTATTACTTGGAAAAAAGGGGTACATAAGTGAATGAAATACAACAACACGTTATGCCTTTGAATATTCCCCGTGTTTTAACTGATAAAACATTGGGGGGGGGGCGTTGAACATATATCTATCTATCTATCTTGTTGCTATGATTCAATGATGGATCACATTACCTATGAATGTTCTTGTTCGGTACAAATAGCAAATGAATGAAATAAGAGAAAATTTTCCTTCATTACTACTTAAATATGAAAAAGATTGATGTACAAATAACTCAATAGAAAGAGGAAACCAAAAAAAACAGATTACGTAATAATAACAACATAATATATAGACTAAACTCCGCCTGTAGCTCCTCTGGGGGTTACTGCCGGTCCCAAGCCCGGGTAAAGGAGGAGGGTTGGGCATGGGGTTAGCGACCCCATCCCGTAGAAAATCAACTCGCTAAAAAAAACGCTAACCAGAAGTAATATATAGATTAGGTAACATGGACAAAACAAATAAATGAAGTAGAATAAAGAAATTAAACTAACTATTTATTATTCAAATGAAAGAAAGAAAGACAATATTGGACAAAACTAGAATAAACATTGAAAAGAAAAAGTATATTATCCAAGTTTAGTTTTTACATTACATTACATTACTGTTATTATGATTGTTTAAATTCTCGAATCCAATAGATGGTCGATTATCATGTAAATTGGGCACATTAAGACGTATTGATTGTGTTGACTAGGAATATAAAGAGAGAGAGAGATAGGGAAAGAAAATAAACGGATAGAGCAAAAGTAAAAGGGTGAGATATTTTCATGTTTACAAATGAATTTTAGGTGTTGACGTTTTATGCCTAGAGAAGTGAATGATAATGTACAATGTTGAAGTGAAATTTTGTTGTGGATTGGTATCAATTATGTGAAGCAGTAGATAGTCGTTTCGTCCTAGTATGAAAGTGCTCTGCAATGTGCATGTACCCACAACCCTACGGTTAGTGCGTTACCATTTAGATCAATGAAGAGACATATGATGGTCTACATTTCCAACTATGGTCAATTCTTGATGTAGCATAATAGGTATCTGTTTTACTGTTCACATCAGACACAACGCCTTGTTACAACTATAGCTGATCACAAAGTTAATTATTACTGAACAAATGCTTAGTATTTAGTCAAAAGATTTGAAGGGAAATTAAATGATAACAATCCTTGGATAAATCGGATTTTAAATCATCTCTTCAAATATCTGAGCAAAACATATAGTTATATTCAATAAAACGATTGTTACTCTCAGTAAATAGAGCAAAGACAGGTATTTCTTTTCAATCAGCTTTTCATCATGGCTTCATACTAACGTGTATATCTTTAATAATATTAAGGAAATATACTCTTTTTCTAAGTAACTGACTTTACACATATGTTTGAAACTCATAAATTAGTGTCACACATACACATAACTATAATAATTCTGAATCAACTTCCAATTTCAATGGGTTTTAATACAACCGTTCATTGATGAGTGACACCATTGGATGCTGGCTCAGTGATCTAGAGGTTAAACGCTCGCACCAGATGAAAGGTCCTGGATTCAAGTCCCAAGTGAGGGATCGTAGGTGAGCACTGCCGATGAGTTCTATACTAGGACAAAATGGCCGTCTAGTGTTTCCGGGTTTTGAGTGCTGATCTAGCTTAGACTGACTCGTAAATTCAACCATTAAAAGAAATATTTTAGAATATAGACTAATAATACACTGTCTAAAATGTAAATACTTACCGGTGTAACAGGTGATAATCTTTCAAAACTCACATATTTATAAACAAGTGATTGAGAACGTAATTTATTTCTATCATTATTTCCTTCCCGATCATTGTTCGCAATCAATTCATTATTCTTAATATTATAATTACTACTTTGAAGTTTCTCATGTTGTTCTTTTAACAAGACAATTTTTTGAAAGTTTACATCTTTAGTAATTGCATTATTATATTGTTGATTGCCAACTTCTGCATTTAAAATAATTGCATTTGTAATATTGCTTTCATGAAATATTTTCCTTCTAACACGTTTAGGAACATCCGGTACAGCTGCCATGATCACATTAGTTAGAATAGTTGCTATGGTCTATTATAATTAATTAATAATTATGATCATATAGATTAATACAATGCGCATAAATATATAATAGATCGAACGAATAAAGATTTCTGGGTTTTATTAAAGTGATTTCCTTAAAAATTTGATATTAGTTAAACAATTATAAAGAATACAAAAGCTTCTTGTTGTGACTTGAAGTCCGGCTAATCTTAGTACTGTGCCAAACCAATGACGTTCGACCAGTATGAGCAGCCTATCATCTTTATTGGTTCTTTTCTTTTCTAGCTCTGCCAGTGGAGTCCAGAACACCACTAACAGTTTTCATGTATTTCAGACATACTTGGTATATATACAAGCCAAAACGGATCACATCACAACAAAACTAGGAAATAGCATTTGTACAAAGTGGCTGTGAACGTTGGAGACTGTAATTAATAAACTAACCATAACTTAAGAACAGTACGTCATATAGTATTAGTCAGTAGGTCAAAATACAGTTTATAATAAGAGAAATATGAATGTACATAATCTAGCTGCTGCTACCTTGACGAGGTGGTCGGGCTTGCCTATCATGATGAATCTATCGAGCTATACTGGCTGAAACAATCGTTCCTCAAGGTCCTACCATGCCAGGCAGGTCGGTTGAAGAGCGGTGAGACTAAAAGCAACAAACCCAAGGTCCGAAGGCGAGGTCGTACTGCTGACTGTACAGAGGTGTGACAGCAGTAAGGTGTTTCCTTCAGACAACAAGCATAACAGCGATGCTGCCTTCCCACAAGGAGGGGTGGGGTAAGAAAAGGTCGACCCTAAAAATGCACACCTCGCCTTATCCCATGGATATCCGTTTCCGGCGGTAAGGTCCTTTGAAGAACGGAGCTAACACGTCAAAAATCCCCCACAAAAAGGTCGTGTGCGACTGACCTCAAGCAGTTGTCCCTTGGACACTGCGGTCACGCTCTCAAGTCATTAAGGCCACTTCTAACCCAATTTCCTTTTCAGGTACCCCTAGAAGAACCCTTCCACGGTGTGGGCAACCGGCATGTGTTAAATGCCCTCATACCTCTAACAGTACTCAAGATCACTGTACTCATAATCAAACTTCTTCTTCAATTCCTACTATTCCTTCTAGCTTGACTTTCAACACTAAACTTCCTATTCCGGTTTCCTCCTCAAGTGTCACCATGGACAACAATTCTAGTGCGCGAAACGCTGTCCTAGGTCTACTAAAACCTCGCTCCAAACTACACATTGGAGCCTTCAACGTACGTACCCTATGCCAAATCGGTCAACAGGCCTCCTTAGCTAAAACCCTAGAATCTCGTACCATTGATGTATGCTGTGTCTCCGAAACACGCATACAGGACCCTAGTGTGGTCATTCACTTGACCTCATCTCGACAAGATGGAGAGCAAACGAGATACACCCTCCGTGTATCTGGCGACCTGTTGGCTAGTTCTCGTGGACTTGCAGGTGTAGGCATAGCACTAAGTACATGGGCAGAACAGGCACTACTAGAATGGATCCCCGTTAACAGTCGCCTGTGTGCTGTCCGGCTAAATGGCTCCGTAAGAACTCGGAAGGATAGTGACACACGTCGTTGCCTTTTCGTCGTTTCTGCCTACGCTCCCACTGACTCCCATGATGAAGTGAAAGATGACTTTTACAGAAAGCTCTCTGAGCTTCTTCAGAAAGCTAAGCGCTCAGACATAGTAGTCGTAGCGGGTGACTTTAATGCCCAGGTAGGCAGCTCAAATCAAACAGAAAGACATTTAGGTGGGTGTTTTAGTATCCCGGCTCAACGAACCGATAATGGTGATCGTCTGTTGCATGTATGTTCAGACAATTGTTTGTTTTTAGCAAGCACTAATTTTAAGCATACGGAGAGACATCGTCTAGCATGGAGACCACCTGCACCAAACCAACGATGAACTCAAATAGACCATATTGTTATCAGTCATCGTTGGAGAGGCTCGTTAGAAGATTGTCGCTCGTATTGGAATACTTGTTTAGACTCTGATCAAGCTTTAATGCGAGCGCGCATTTGTCTGCGCCTCAATGGACGCAGGAAAAGTACACTATGAAGACCCATTAGGATTGAACTGGAGGACGAGAAATCCAAATGTAAATTCCAGGAACAACTAAGTTCACATCTAGGCAGTTTTGTAAACAAGACTGACACAGATGCTGCTAGGAAAGACACACAAACAGCTGTGGAAACAGCAGTAACATCTATTAGTTATTTAAACCATAGGGCTCCAAAAAACCAATGGATTTCTTCTAAGTCTATTTCACTGATGGAATCGCGTACAAATAAATCCCATCAGGCTCTGAACACGACCAAGAACGTAAACAAATTAGGTTTAGGTTAACTAAAAGTCTAAGAAACGATCGTGAGCAGTGGTGGGCAACGAAAGCAAAAGAGATGGAAAAGGCAGAGGCTGTAGGCAACACCAGGCAACTATTCAGACTAATAAAATAAACCGGAATTAGAAGTCAAGTGTAAGTGAGACAATCTCAGAAAAAGACGGAACCCTTATCTGCTCTCAACCCCAACGTTTAGAACGATGGGCGGAACACGTTAAGGAGCAGTTTAGCTGCCCTTCAGCTACTGCACAACTACCCACTATTCCCAGAAAACATGAATGGAACATTGAAGTAGGCCCCTCGACACTACTTGAAGTTTAAAAAGGCTATAACTAATCTGAAACGAGGAAGAGAAGTTGGTCCACATGGATTGACTCCAGAGGTCTTTATATATGGTGGTCCAATTTTAGAGATTAGGTTGACTAATATTCTGGCCAAAATCTGGGAGACGGACATAATCCCATCTGACTGGTCACAATCTCTGATTGTCCCAATATATAAGAAGGGGCCAAAATCATCCTGTGATAAACATAGAGGGATTAGTCTGACTAACATAGCATCTAAAATACTAGCTTCAATAATTATCGGGCGCCTAACTAAGACTCGTGAACTGCAAACACGAGAAAATCAGGCTGGCTTCAGACCTGGTCGTGGCTGTATCGACCACATATTCACCATTCGTCAAGTTTTAGAGCACAGATATGCCTATCGGCGTCCGACAATGATAGTTTTTCTTGACTAAAAAGCAGCATTGGACTCTGTAGACCGAAAGGTTCTGTGGCAGTGTCTGTCATTGAGAGGTGTATCTGAGAAGTACATAAACCTTGTGAAGGCTCTTTACTCGAACACTACCAGTCGAGTGAAAGCTTATGGCAAACTTTCATATGATTTTACAAACCCAAGTGGAGTCCGTCAAGGCTGTCCACTATCCCCATTTTTGTTTAACTTCATTATAGACCTGTTGCTGGAAATAACACTCTCGATGACTGAATTTACAGGAATTGATCTTCTACCAGGAGGTTCACTTATCGACTTAGAATTCGCAGATGACATAGTCCTGTTTGGTGAAGACACTGACAAAATGCAGAGTCTTCTGTTGGAACTCAGTAATAATACCAGGATGTTTGGGATGTGTTTCTCCCCATCCAAATGTAAATTGTTACTCCAGAACTGGCCTGCGTCAACACCTGAACTAATGATAAGGAGTGAAGTAGTCGAACGAATCGATAACTTCACTTATCTTGGAAGTCTGATCAGCCCTAATGGGTTGATGTCTGACGAAATCTCAGCACGGATTCAAAAAGCTCGTTTGGTTTTTGCCAACTTACGTCACCTGTGGCGAAGACGAGATATCCGTCTATCAATTAAGGGACGAGTATACTGCGCAGCAGTTCGTTCTGTTCTACTTTACGGCTGCGAAACATGGTCACTAAGAGTAGAAGATACTCGTAGGTTACTAGTATTTGACCACAGATGTCTTAGATATATTGCTCGCATCTGCTGGGATAACCGGGTAAGTAATAATGAGGTTAGACACAGGATATTGGGGAATGATGGTAAATCAGTTAATGAGGTGATGAATCTTCATCGACTGAGATGGTTGGGTCACGTGTTACTTATGCCTGAACACCGATTACCACGACGTGCTATGCTGACTAGTGTAGGGGATGGTTGGAAGAAAGTTAGGGGCGGCCAAACCAAAACGTGACATCAGTGCTTGAAGTCACTAACTTCTAGTCTGAGCAATGTTGGTAGATGCAGACTACCTGGTTGGGGTCCGCGTGACTATCGTAATAAATGGCTGGAGACTCTGTGTGACATGGCTCAGAATCGATCACAACGGCGTGGGTGTATACACTCCTTATCTTCCCTTAAACCTTGAGATTAAAATTGCTTCATAACTTTTTCCTTCCTATACTATATCCTTATATATAATCTTTCTTGATATACTACTACCACTAAATTAATTACTTCTATGAATCCGGTGTTCATCTTGTTGTGCTAACGAGGTATGGCAACTTGGACCGATACATATATGTGCCTGGTCCTACGTTGTAACTGACTGACTGACATAATTTAGCTACTCAATAGTTATACAATAAAAATATTCGTACAATATTAGTCCATAAATAAATCTCAACAGTTACCATCCATTATTCTCGTCGGGATATAACACCTCCAATGTTTGCTCGTTTTATACATTAGTCATTATATCTCATCATTGCATAAGTATAAGAAAGGATTTGTGGTTATTGAAGTAAATTAACAAAATTTTGTATTTGGATAAGCTTATATCTGTTCATGACTAGTTGGTGGCTTATGCTACTTCATGAGGGGTAACAGGCGTAAGCAAATCATGATCTCTTTTTAATAATTATCATGAATTACAAAGATAAACTAGCTATATACTTGGTAGAGCTGATAGTTACAGGAGTTAATAGTATTACGCAGGCTACTATTGAACTTATTCACTAAAATGCCTGTTTGTATTTAGTCAGTGATTTTTTTCTTGACCAATGATCTATTGACCGTGAATGACAACCAGAGCATATTAATTAACGCTGTTGGATCTGGGGGTTGAGGTTCGCTCGAGACCGAAGATCCTGGGTTCGAATCCTGCGTGTGAGATCGTGGATGAGCATTTCCGAAGAGTCCCATACTAGAATAAAAACGGCCGTCTAGTGCTTCCAGGTTTTCAATGGTGGTTTAACATTGATCGATTCATGATCATAATGAAATCAATTCATCACTCTAAGATGAATTTGTTATTTAATACTGTTATTTACATAGTTTAGCTGGCTTATACACATTTCTATCGATTAAGTAATATTATATGAATAATTTACGAATGAATTCAATCGAACAGTTGTACAAAGAGAGTAATTTAATTATATAACAGAATTATTATTATAGATGTTAAACACGAGTGTCACTAGATATCATATACCTAATAATTTTACTTAGATTAACTTTTCGATTCAAAGGTTCTCCATACTAAAAAAAGAATATGTAGATTCAGTGGTCATTCGATGATGCAACTCACGACGTACAGATTCGTATATATTCAGCTTTGAGACTAAAATGAAGCCGGCTAGTGGTATTCAAACATAAGTTTTCAGTGTTTGAAAGTCGATGCCTCTAAACAATTTCTCCAAAAACATGAACTGATTCTAACGATGCTTAACATCGGTGATCGAATGAGAACCGATCTATTCAAATTTGTATGATTACTGACAAACCCTAAACAGTAAGCATCCAAGGTCTTAACGTAAATCATACACATTCACAGTTACAATCAACACGTAACAGTGGAAAACATAATTAGAAATATAAAAGTGTATACAACATATAAGTTGCAATCACCTAAATCTCATTTAAGAAACTGAAATGTTTAACTTACTTCAAAAGTGAAAACAAAAATGAATTTAGCTGCTAGAACATGATAATAAATTGAAGTGAATACATATGGTTCTGATGACCAAGGGGGTGAACGATAAGCATCATATCTTGTGTAAAACAAAAAAAAGAAAACCACACCCAGATACAGTGATATTTAAGCAAAAAAAGGTTTCAATTCAGTTAGTATTGTTTGTTTGAATCTTCCTATTAATGTTTAGGACTGCAACTGGTCAGTCTCTAATTGGAATATGTGCATACTGTGCATATTGCCTCGATATAGCCTCAATGGGAAGATTCAAACAACCAATACTAAGTGAATTTCAACTTCACCCCATTGCACAAGCAAGTGACTATCAGGACTCAGTGGCTGAGTGGATAACGCGATGACGTTTGAAGCGAAAGCTACTGGGTTCGAGACCCGAGGTGAACATCAACTCTGAGATGCAGGTACATCCAGCTGACGAGTTCCAAAATAGGAAGAAACGCGCGTCAAACTGGATTTCACTGCTAGCCACTATCCATCTTTGCTTACAATGCTTGAGAAAATGTTTACTTTTACATAAGAAAAATCTATTTTGAAAAATATTTTGATTATAAAAAAATAAATTTTATTATCGGCTAAAGGTTAAATACAAAAAAATGTATTCTCTTTAAACAGAACTAGACTATTGTTGATCTCATTATTTATTATGAAAAACTGTGGGCTTGCCAAAACATAGTTAATCGTTTTTGTTCGAATAATTTTCTTTAAACTGATTATTTTCTTATGCTAACTCGTCTAAACTAGTGACCACATTGCAAATTGATCGGTAGAATTCGATCTGCACTAAGAAAAACCTGACATACATGACGATGATCTCTACCCAGAGATCAATCAACTGTAAATACATTGAAGTCGTACAGGAGGTCAGTCGCTGCCCTCATAGCTCGGTGGTAACATCTCTGACTGTGAAGCTGGGCGACACGAGGTCGAATATGTCAGGAATCTTCAGATCCCTCAAGACTGCAGCTACACCTTGCTAACGAATGCCAAATAGCACGAAACCTAGGTTCAAGGTTTCCTATCTACTACCTCCGACCACCGTCTCTTGTATGATTTCCTAGAACAGTTTTAAAGTTTCAGAAATACCAAAAGACATTTGTAAGATATGCCTACAGTTTATATATTATCTTTAACTGTTAAATTATATTGTGAAGTAATGATTCAATGGTCATGGTGTTTGACATTCATTTAATAATTAAGTCATAAGTTCGAATTTCACTTCACCGATATATTGATTTGATCAACCGAGTCTGATACATGAAAATCTCACTCATCGTTAAAATCATGTAAGCATCAACTTAATAGTCAATTTCATTTTAGGAGGTTTATGCTACTTATACATAAATAGAACGAAACTGGTGTCCTATATTCCACCGCTAGCCACTATCATCTCTGCTTATAATACTTGTGATTTAAGGCAATATCGAGGCAATCCGTACAGGATGCACATATGCCCATAAGAAACTGATCAATCTCAGTATATATATATATATATATATATATATATATATATGACCAGCTCACTGTATGAAAACTGATTTCTTCATTCTGCTGCTAACCGCATATATAGTATACATAATTATTAATAAATTACTTTCAAGCAAGTCAACCGACATTGCTTGCCATTAGTCACCATAGCTTAGTGTATACTACAACCAGAAATATGAAACTAAACAGAAACACATTCGAATAGCTCGACAACCAGATATATATATTTGGAATGTATACACATCTTAAAGAATGATACACATACACACAACACAGTTATTATTCAAATTTAATAATACCTGCAATAAGTTTCATTAGTTGGAACATCAAAACGAGTTGTAGACATATAGGAGAGAGTGAAATTCACAAAACCTTTCATCGTACCATCTGGACTATAAGTATAACGGTATACACATCGGTCAATAAATTGTGTAGTAAATGCAATAATACAAGCCTAGATTGAAATAAGGAAATTGAATAGAAAGAAAAATACATTATTAAGTTAGGGATCTTTATCAATCCGTATACACCCATGTTGTAACATGTTTAACAAACTTATTCAAAGAGGAAAAAAGAGAAAGACGTTATAATAACTTGATTATTCAACTAAACAAAATATCATTTCATCCATAGGAGTTTTGTAGAATTCTAATAAGCAGGTAAATACTTAAATTCATTTTGTATTGTTCGTTTGAATCTTCCCATTGATGTTTGGGACTGAAATTGATCAGTTCCTTATGGGCATATGTGCATCCTGTACGGATTGCCTCGATATTGCCTTCAGTCACAAGTATTATAAGCAGAGATGATAGTGGCTAGCGGTGGAATATAGGACATGAGTTTCATTCTATTTAGGACTCGTCAGTTAGATCTGCTTGCATTTCAGAGTTAATATTCACTCCGGGATATTAACCCAGTAACGTCCACCTCAAACGCCATCGAGTTATCCATTTAGATACTGAGTCTTGATAGTTACAAGCTTATGTAATGAGGTGAAGTTTAAATATTCCGATTGATGCTTAGGGATGTAATTGACTAGTCATTTATTGGCATAGGTGCATCCTGTACGAATTACCTTGATATTATCTTAAGTCACAAGTATTGTAAGCAGAGATGGATGGTGGCTAGCAATGGAATCCAGGTCAAATCCTAAATAGGATGAAACGCGCGTCCTGGATTCCACTGCTAGCAACCATCCATCTTTGCTTATAAGTTAAATACTTAGTTACATTTCATTAAACAATAAGTTAGACTCTTTACAAACTATTATGATAACATGATCAAGTGATAATATTTACTGGAAAGTTATTTAGATAGAACTTAAAAGAAAAAGTTGCATGCTTTCAGAAATAGTTACTGGTGTGTAATGACCTATTTTGTTTAACAGAATGAGACATTTTAAAGCGGAATGTTTAGTGGTAGACTTTGTTAACGAAAAGTTTATGTGTTCACTTATCAATTAGTAAAAAGAAAATGAATCACGTAAAATTTTCTGTCAATACTTTAGCAACCATCTGTATGTTTATAGATGAAATATAATATTCGCATAGTAAAGGCTTATTACTATGTTCTGGACTCAGCGGACAAGGTAGAGAGAGAAGTTGCCGAACCGAGGACCAATAAAAGCTTGGCGTTGACTCAACGTTATTAGTGCTGAAAGGATTATGATTGGTGTCTTGTCACGTGGTACTAATGTAGAGACATTAGTTATGACAGATGCGTAGCGTTTTGTGGTGGAGTTGATATAATAGACAACTGAATTCACTGAAGAGATCTTAAAAATTCATATTATCCAGTTGTATAGGATATATCTAGTCACGTTTATCTTGTGTTAACATTTGGTCTATAAGCATGTAATATTACTACACGACAAAAACTATTCTACTGGGGAGATGTTACGTCTTCTAACAGCTATTTAAATGAAGGCTTACGTCAATAACTATGTTTTTTGACCAGTTATCACAGGGCCACAATGTATTATTGAGTGTTACCAATCGATTAGCACTATATTTAACAATCAAAATATATTTGAGCGTATTTACTTACAAATTATCAAATTTCAATAGATTATTTAACTACCTCTAAGACTCCAAGTAGGGGGTTGCGATGTACTAACTGATATCAGTCCTATACAACTTTATGCATACTACAGCATCAAGTTACACGATGACTATCTCTCCGCTTCTCCTATTGCGACCCTGTATCGGCAAGTCAATGAAGTCAATGTTTCAAGACAGTGAAACTACTTAATGAGCCCAAATACATGTCAGATTACAGTATGAGAACTGAAGGTCCTGAGTTAGATCTTGTGTGAAAAAGCGAAGAAAAGGAAAGTGATAACTATGGAAAAAAGACTTACATTAGTTCTAATAGCAATGCTTGCGAGAACAGTGATGATCGACAACCATATACCTGAACGAAAAAATAAAAGACGATTATTGAAAATTTATCTATAAGCCAGATATAAAGTGTTAATTCAACTAATCACACATATGCTTACTAATCTTTCATAAAGTATCGTAGAGAAATAAATGATCATTATTTATTTATCAATGAGACAGTATGAACGTTTTAAAATTTACACTAAATTGTAAAATGATAGTGTTTAGTGATACGTTCTCGTGTGAACAAGTTGCAGGTCACCAATTGCTTACATGCTGGGAAATTAACCACCGAAACCGTACAAAGTACGACCGTGATGTTTCAAAGCGTACACCACGTCCATAGCTGCCACTGACTTCCTCTTGGCATGTTCCGTGTACGTGACTGCATCACAGATCACGTTTTCCAGCATCACCTACAGTACACCACGAGTCTCCTCTCAGATCAATCGTGAAATGCGCTTCACACACCACGACGAGTCAGACGACGGATTGAAGGTTTTGTGATACCATGGATGTTGTCAGGTAGGACCTTGAGATGTCTCTTGGCTCCTTTACCCAAACTCTTACCACCTTTACCACGAGCAGACATGATTCACAACGATAGATACTGACTTGCAGACCGACACGAGACGACAAGACTGGTTTTTGACCCGGACGTGGTTGTATTAACCAGATATTCACATTACGTCAGGTCCTAGAAAATAGACACACATTCAGACGCCCCACAATCGTAGTGTTTCTCGACCTTAAGGCGATATTTGACTCTGTTGATCGTGAGGTTCTGTAGCAGTGTTTGTCACTGAAAAGAGTACCAAAGAAGTACATTAACCTTATAAAAGCTCTCTACTCGAACACAACTGGTCGAGTTAGAGCTTATGGCGAACTGTTATCATAATTGATTACCTGAAGTGGTGTTCTTCAGGGCTGTCTACATGGCTCAAAATCGCTTGCAATGGCAAAGGTGCATCCACTCTTTGTGTTCTCCCACGTTCTAATCTTCTGAATTCTTCATGACCCTTTCTTTTTTCTCTTTCCAAATTTATTTCACTGAATTATACTCCTTGAATAACATCTTCAAATCCTAATCTTTCCGATTACTGCTTATACTCTTACTACCTGAACAACTATAGGATTTGAATCGACAAATGTATCCATGTGCTAATGTGGTATGGCAACTCGAAATGATGTACGTACGTACAAAGTTCTACGTTGTGACTGACTGAGTGCTTAGTGATAGTCAATAGTAAAATCTCGCACATATATTTCATTCCATCTGTAAATTATAGACGGGATAAGTTTTCATTCATTGAACTGTTGGTGTGCAGCTAACTTATTGTGTTAATATTAAAAGTCCTCATTTAATGGATGTTGATTCTAATGCTATGTGATTATGTTCTGTATTTGTATAACGGACCAAATGAAGATAGCCTATTTTGATATTAATTCTCATTATGAAGGTTTTTATGAAGTCTTTCAGTTGTGACAATTCCAGTCGGTTCATGATAATGATTAATAAGTGTTTACTAAATTTCAGTTTGTTAAGATATTGAAGTTAACCAATCTGGCATTTTAATAAAATGTTATGATACTATTCATTTATTCATAAATAACATTTAGATACTGACACATTGAGTCAATTGGAAATCTGACATATGATAGTTGCATGTGATTGGTCGAGAAATGGCTTTCATTTCCTAGGGGTAGGACATACACCATAGGTATCATCATGTCGGTTTCGTTTAGCCAATAAGCTTTCTCAATTAATCTTTTCACTTGAGTAGCCCGGTTGTGGCTCGTGTATAGGAAGACTGTGTATCAGTATCGAAATCTGATACTGTTATGCTTGAAGCTAAATCGATTCCGCGGTAACGAACGAAAGCCAATGACACAATGACACGATAAGCTATTCTAATCTGTTGTCCCAGGCCCCGCTAACTAGATGAAGAAGTCTAAGGCAAGTAGGGGAATATATATGTATTCCGTAAGCAGCCGAGTACAAGCAATCAAATAAGGGAAAAAGTCAAGCGCATTTATTCAACAACAATTTGTCCTTGAGCATCATTAGTAAATAGCACACACAAAGAAACAATGGACCAATAGCGTTTAAGATAGTTTACAAGTGGGAAATATGACGTGAAGGCAAAAAGAGCGCGTTTGGCGCGGAAACAGCTAAATTCAAATTTTCAAAATAAAACTACAAAACTAAGCCATTTACCAAGTAAGTTCTGGGGATTTGACATCCCCAACAGATACCGCACATTACAACACAAACTAAAGTTATATAATCACTAAACAGTCACTCAGACACATTCATAGACATATCCCTCGCCACACTGACACGAGGAATTTATGGTTCTGATGTCATAAATAAAGAACTGAACCTCAATGAAAAAGATACTTATCCATAGGCATTTATTGATAAGAATATAAAACCTAAACCTTTTAAAGCAAAAATAACTTCCGTAGAATGGAAAACTCATTATATGAACATCGATTTTAAAGGCGATATAGCTACATGCATCCGCAGAAACTTTGCGATTAGTGTTCTCTAGCTAACCAGTGTTCAACAACTATCGCTTTTGACCAGTTCTATGCGGATTTTTCAATTTACCTGTTCATGCGGAGCCAGGCATATAGGTCGTTCGATGAGTATTTTATCCAAAAGAATTCAAGAATATTACCTGGTTTGGCTGAAAAGAGGCGGAAATGCCTCAGTAAGAAGCTCTATAATCGAAAAGATTGTTAACACAGATCACTTAACCAAAACGGACTCTGCATTCAAAGTCCTTTACAAGTTAAGTAGAAAGCTGTCAATGGCAGTTGGCTCCCACCTTCTTATCATGGCTGAAGCACTTGTTTTACCATTTACAAAAATCAGAATTCTGGGTACAAAGGAAACTTGCACAACCTCTTCTTCTACCACAGTCTTATTCTCCCATGATTTCTATTTTTCTTTCACAGACATCTGCTTCCTTCCTATGTTCTTTTCCACAAACATTTTACCCCCAACTGATTTGTTTATGTTTCTATGATCATTCTATACACAGATTTTCTTAATCACCCTGAGCTTTTCCTTCCTAATTATAATCTCTTTATTTGTTTTCTTGATGAATATTCAAGTTCTTACTAACAACGTCATTATTTAAAACAATTAGTCCCCTTGGTAAATTTCGATAATGCAATGAGAAGACGAAGTTTATCAGAAGTATGTGATATATTTGCGCAATCCATTTCGAACAATCTGATCACACATATACTTGTTAAGACATTTAAGGGTGGCGGAACATATACCTAAATGGCTGTAGAAAAAAAATGAATTCCAATGGTCAAATAAGATCACAGGTTAGATAGACATCTTCCTCCATTGCGAAACATTTGGTTGAAACTGGTCATATGGTTGACATCAAGTCAGCAAATATTTACGATAGTACAGTTTTGAAAATAAATTCACTGAAAAGAGAACTCTTTGCTGAACCAAACATTCTTATTTTATGTCTTAAAGAGTATATTCCGTTTACTTATGTATTTGTCTAAGTTGAGATACAATAAAACCAATAGTGTGTGATAAAATTGTGAAGAAGAAAGGTATAAAAGTATTGAATCGAGCAACAAGAAACAGTAATATTACTTACCAATTGTTTGAACTCTTTCAAGAACTGGACGACGATATTGATTCACCAATTTTTTAGCATCACCACGAATCTCAAACAGATTGTTTAATAAACCAAATAAGGGTGCAAGTGGAAATGCAGGGACAAACATGGTGATGAATCCATATTGAATCACTAGGAAAAATTGATCGCAAAATTAGTTGTGGAAAAATGAAAACCGTCTGTGAAGCAAATGAAAAGACACCAAACTCTAGCTAAATAAGTCTATTATGCTGAACATATTCCAACCTCAAAAGACTGGTCACTAGACGCTGAATTGTTTATCACGTCATATGCATGTCAAGAATAGTCTACTCTGAGAAATCAATTGTCTTGGTAGGACAAACAAGTGAGATAGTTTGGTTAAGATATGTTTCACCTTGTTAATTTTATCATCCACTCTATTAAATATAATCTTTCTGGGCAAGATTTTATCCTTCAAACTGGAATAGGAAAACAAAAAGATCCAGTCAACAGGTTAAGATGCACTACGTTGGAAAGTCATTCATCTAATCGTATAGTCTTAATGTAAAGTTATATAAGTTAGGCAGCTATATCATTCTAAGAAACTCTAGCCGACTGAGATTACGCTTAATACTGAGTACTTTAAAATTCCATAAATTGTCTGTAGAAGCCAATTTGTGAATTCTATCGTTAGTCAGTGTGTCACATATAGAAACTAAGTTTAAATAAAACTTAGATTTGTCGTTACTATTTAACGAACACTTACAATTTAGTACATTGTAAAATTAGTAGGTAATATTAAGGTCAATGGTTAAAGCTAATTATGTTTTCAATTAGTGTGTAATATATTATTTATTTATTTAAACACGTTTTTATATTTTGTGGGTTTGTGACCCAATTATTATATGATATGATGATGCCGCCAAATAGAGTACAGTGAATTATCGATCGGACCAATCATACAAAAAACCCATACAAGCAGTCGGGAGTACTTATCCGTCCTGCTTTCTGCTTAGCCAAGCCAGTTAAGTCCAAAACACCAATAATAGCCTCTGCAATATGAATCATTCATTTCAAACATACTGGGTTTATATACCAATCAAACATACCACATCGTACCATAAAATAGAAAATAACATTTGCACAAGATTCAGCTCAAAGTGGCTGTGAATGTCGGAGACTGTAATTGACAGACTGGATATAACTCAAGAATAGTAAATCGTAAAATAATAGTTCATAGATCCAAATAAAGCTTATAATAAGAGGAACATGAATATGAATATTTTAGTTACTTAACAATTATATCATAAATATATATGTATCATATTGGTCCATAAATAGTTCTCAAAAGTTGCCATTCATAATTCTCTTCAGGATATAACACACGTAAACATTGGTACAAGGAGGTATCAAATATATATGTGCCACACTTCCTCATTCAATTTGCGTGAGGGCTGGAATACTGACCGAGCGCCCAAACCAAAATAGGTGGTTTACTTATAGGGCCACTTCTCGTCCCTTTGACTTAGAGGTCTAATCCATAAGGCGGTAGAGCTACGTTAGGAGATGCAGTCCCATGATAGCCGGTGACGAAAAATACGTTGATACGCCATTTGTTCCCTCAGGATCCTGGAGCCTGTGTGTACTGTAGGGCCAATGATATGTCACTGAGCCCTAGCCAAATCATCCGGCAGTTGGGTCACTGAATATCTAACGGATCATCGATCCCTGTCAAAGACAATTAACGCACATCAGTTAATCGTACGGCATGAACTGGCCCATGTGACCGTGGTCTTACTTTCGCTTGTATCTAATTTAACTAATATATTTCTATAATAACGTCCTTTGTGTTGTACAGTTTTTAGAGCATATATAGTCCCTTGATACGTTGATAGGGCGATCCACGTAAGGTGCTGACCGCGTGGTGTGACTTCGACGTTAGGTAATTCATCACACCATTCCCGTCTAACTCTAGTAGGACCACAATCATTTGACATAGGTCATCTACGTTGGTGATCTACCATTGGTTCGAAAACAGGGTTTTTCAACTCGCATATGTGTGTAATACATGACATTATCAGTCGTTTCCATTTATTTGATAGATGGATGTTGTTTATTAGATTGTAATTTTAATAAGTGATTTTATTTTAACCTTTGAATTTTAACATATTTATGTTTTTTTATAAGGGCAGCATTTCTACAATTGAAGAACATATGGAACTCAAAACAACTGTCAAATAACTTCAAAGTGAGAATCCTCAATACGAACGTCAAGACAGTTCTACTGTATGGAGCTGAAACGTGGAGAACTACTTCAACCATCATCAAGAAGGTACAAGTATTTATAAACAGTTGTTTACGCAAAATACTCAACATTCACTGGCCGGATACTATCAGCAACAGCGTTTTATGGGAGAGGACAAAGCAGCTTCCAACTGAAGAGGAAATCAGGAAAAGACGTTGGAAGTGGATTGGACATACATTAAGAAAAACACCAATGGGCATCACGAGGCAATCCCTAACTTGGAATCCAGAAGGGAAGCGGAAACGAAGAAGGCCGAAGAACACATTACGCCGGGAAATAGAAGCAGATATGAGAAGGATGAATAACAACTGGAACGAACTGGAAAGGACTGCTCAGGACAGGGTTGGCCTATGCTCCTCCACGAGGGGTAACAGGCGTGAGTAAGTATGTTTTTTATCCGGTAATTAAGGGTATCCACAAAATATAGTTTGGTATAATCCCAGATATAATGACAAAAATAAATAAATAATGTTACCACCAATCTATCACCAAATCAATATAAAGTAGAAAAACATGATCAAAAAAAAAAGGAATCACTTACTCATTTCTAAGTACTCATTAAACAATGGTCTAGATCCAGGATCTAACATATTAAAATCAGCACGACATAGAATATTTCGTCCACTCAATGAACTATATTTTGCTGGTAAAAGAGAAGTAGTCACTGGATTGCTTTCATTAAAATTTATACTATTCATATTATGATTATGATTAACATAATTAGATGAACGTTCCATTGAACGAAATTTAAAAACTAATTTCCATAGAACACTAAATGGAGTAGTAAGAGATGAATGATAAACCAAAAAAAGAATCATTCAATAAAGTATGATATAATATAATAATAAAGCGTTAAAAAATTGTTATATACACAAAGAGGCGACATGATTATATAATGATGAACTGAGTAGTCTGGTTGAATGTATGTGTCACCTGTTCCTATCATCTACATGTTTCAACAACTTATCTGTATCTTGGTTTCTTTCAACACATCAATATGTCTATTAGGCGCATAACATATTCAAGTGAACTGAGTCACAAGGCAAGCCCTCACATGGAATCCTGAAGGCCAAAGGAAAAAAGGAAGACCAAAGAACATATTATGCCGAGAAATGGAAACAGACATGAGAAGAATGAACAAAAATTGGATAGAACTAAAAAGAAAGACCCATAACAGAGTGGGTTGAAGAATGCTGGTCGGCGTCCTATGCTCCATTGGGAGTAACAGGCGTAAGTAAGTAAGTGAATAATATTCAAGTGAATTTATGAAAAGTTTACGACCTCTTACTGTACAACGTTAAGAAAAACACAAAAAAGACATTGTGGTAGCTGGCTATATCCACTGAAAACAATGAACATTATTCAAATCTCAATTCCTGAACTGCTAACATCTAACTGGAGAACGATCAATATTTATCGTCAAGATCGATCAAGAAATAAGGAAAGGAATTTTCAATAGTAAACATTGAGTCTTTATTGACACATATGCTTTCTATACGGTACATCCAGCTGACGAATCTCATATAGGAAGAAACATACATCCCAAATTTCACTGTTAATCACACACCATAATATCATTAATTAATTCTTACAAAACATAAGTCAGAAAAGAATCTTGTAGAATTTTCGTGTTTCTTTTCTATGTTTTTCAGATTACAAATAACTTGTTAGGATATACCAATTGCTGTCAAACACATACTACTTATAATGATTTAGCATTTCTATTCTATCACATTTAAAAAGTCCGTCTGCTATTACCTCACTTTTTTACACTTCACTTACGTGTTGAGAAATAAAAGTCATGATATATGTTTAAATCACAAAACATCACACCAGACACGATTCATGTTAAAAAATTTATTACTTGATTCTAAGTGTTCAATACAGTGGGTTATTATATAAAAACTTGAAAAGCAACTGCAGACTAGAGAGAAAATGGATAAAAGTATATACCTATGACTGCATACAGGACATATGCTTAATAATAATGGATAGTAATTAGTATGATGAGTTTGTTCACATAGTTACACTTGTAATGGATATCACAGACTGACTTCAGTGGCATACTGATAATTTAGTGGTTAGACGTCAAGCGCTCACCACTGAATCTAAAGAATACAGATCCCATCTCCAATAGGGTCAGAGATTCACACTGCCAAGTAGTGCTATACTAGGACGAGACGACTGTCCGTTGTTTCCTAGTTTTTAGTGATCGTCTAAATACAGCTGATTTGTGATATCAACCATAAAATGGATAGAAAATTGTATAAACAACTTACGGCATTAAAGATTCCTGGATAAAACCAAATATTTGTTTACCAACCATAATTATAACTAATTGTATGAATAATTCGAACAGACAATCACCTTGGTCACACTATTTTAAAAAGAAAACAGATGATAATAGAAATATGCAAGTACATAACAAAAATAAGCACAGACAAAACAATATTCATGAAGAAATGTTATTATGTACAATTGACGTTTTATTAAAATAGACGAACCCCAGAATCCATTTCGTTAGTTAAGGATAATTAAGAATAAACTGTGGTTCTATTAAAAGCCTACAAACAATAAACAGAATATAAACCATTAAGAAACTCTTGGAGACTGAGGTGTCTTAGCGCACATCGTTAAGTGATGTGAGTGAGAACCTATTGGTCCATTTATTGAACTAATAATGGCAATATTTATGCCTCATAATTAACCGAGGTCTATCGATTAATGTAAAAAAATATGGGATATTTTCAGTTAGTGCTTTTTTTAAAGGAAACAGCAAATTTTAGCTAAGCTGAACATGAAACGGCTTTCCAAGGATAATCCACAACATACTATCGTGAGGTGAGTAGAATGTTGCAGTGAACACCATGAACTGACTGCAGTCAGACAACCACTGAAAACAAAACAAACATTGGACAGGTGCATCGACCTGAGATACCACTTCTCAAAAGTTTTCATCCATGATCTAACCAGGGATTAAATTTAGGACCTTCAGACTTCTCAAAGAGTCTTTAACCTTCACATCGCTAGGTTGGTATCTAGTGGTTTACCTTTCTCACTTCGTTCAATTTGTGTTATTGCATCACCATTATTGATAAATATCATTCGCTCGATATTGTTGAACACCAATGTTCACTGTTTCCACTAGGATCTCAAGAGTTACCACTCAAATTCAGTCAATAGTAAGCATAAGTTTATTATCATTATTATTATAGTACGGAGTTGTAGAGATTGCCGAATTTGTAATTTCTGTCATAAATTCAGGAATGTCAAGCTTATCAACATCTATAGAATAGAATTGAAGAGGTCATTTATCTAATCACTTTAGGTAATTCTTAGTTATCAGTTAGAGTCAACATAAATGGTAAAGGTTGTTCATCTTATAGACATCAACCAATATATACATGGACAATTATGTAGTGGAACGTACATATGAAACATGAAACGTTTGTTCAAATTCTTACAACGAGTTTAAAGGAAACAAGTAACTGTGTTAAAATCATGGGTCAACCTAAGTGTTGTAAACTTTTATTGCAAACTAGCTACTTCTATTCCTTAATATTCTTCAGATAGTTCACTTCATTCAGCAAGTTCCCATATCAGAACGAGGTTGAACAGGAACATAATTATATTGCAAATAAACAGGGTTGAATGGAAGTAGGAATCAAAATACGGATAACATTAGTATATTTATAATTTTTACACAGGAAAATTCTAATCTTCTCCAAGTATTGGATTGCACTGGTTGGTTAAGAAATGAACAATCAGTGTCCTAACATAATGATGCACGGAACACGCGTTAATTCATCCTGTATCCCACTAACACTAAGCTAGACCAATGTTGAGATCTAAAATTCTTAAACGTCAACGATTGATTTGTAATAACTTATTATTAAGAGATAATTCAAAATTATTTTTTAAAATCATAAGTTAACTTCAGGGCAAGTATTGAAAGAAAACAATCAGTAATTCGTCTTTTATAAAAAGAAATGAAAAAAAAATTTACTAGGATTATGTAGATACTTTCCTGGACTACGATATTTCACAACCCTAACTCCAACATAGTGAACGAGAATATTTCTATCCTCTTCTTTGCTGCTGCGTAAACTAGAGAAATAATTACCGATTTAGTAATTGAAACCTTTTTATGATGACCTTAGAATATCACTTCGAAAAGTGATTCAAGTTAGTCGACGACACGTGAACTATAATGATTAAAATTTATGAATTGAGTGTTTGTCACTAAATAAGGATCATGGTTAAAATGTATCGAGAGTCTAGGAGCAGAGTTCAAATTGAATAATTTGATGTAACGAAAATTCATCTTAATCGACATTTAGCAGTATAGAATTGTGGAGATTCTTCAATTTCATTTAAACCACAGACCAATCTAAGTCAAACAATTATTGGAAACCTGAAAGCACTGGATGACCGTTCTACTCTACTTAGCAGTGCGGATCCACGCCCCCAACAAACCAGGGATCGAGTTCAGAACCTCGAAAATCATTCACGACCGCTTAACCGCTGAGTCGGGATTCAGTGGTATAAAATTTTATTCTTAATCAAGTGGTTTCAAAAAACCTAATCAATACTGATTTGCTCTATCGTAAGCTGTATTTGAGGACTTCACATCTCTAACAATTTGAACAATCTTATAACAATGATTTAAGATATTAATACGAGAAATGAAGGCCGGCATAAATGAACTCGGACATAAAGAAGACAAATATGATAAGAAAAATCAGTGTAAATCACACCAGTCTGGATATTAAATTCAGATCCATATAAAGGTGATCAGTTTAGAAACAATAAAAATAATTTCTGAACAGATTAATGAGTTGAATTTTACAATGACTGATGCTTCACAGAGTCTAATTATTCAGCGTAAACGACTAACATACAAAACCATAGATGCTGAGTTAAGATAAAACTTATAATATGTGTAAATTCATTTAGTATTGTTTGTTTGAATCTTCCCATTGATGTTTAGGACTGCAACTGGTCAGTCTCGAATTGGCATATGTGCATACTGTGAGTATTGCCTCGATATAGCCTTATTTCACAAGCATGGTAAGCAAAGATGGATAGTGGCTAGCAGTGGAATCCAGTTTGACGCGCGTTTCGTCCTATTTGGGGCTCGTCAGCTGGATGTACCCGCATCTCAGAGTTGATGTTCACTCTGGGACTCGAACCTAGTACTTTCCGCTTCAAACGCCATCGCGTTATCCACTCGGCCACTGAGTCCTGATAGCCACTCTGAGATGCAGGTACATACAGCTAACGAGTTCAAAATAGGACGAAACGCGCGTCAAACTGGATTCCACTGCTAACCACTATCCATCTTTATAATATGTGTTTTTGAAAATTGAAGTTTTTTGGTCAGTCAAAATGTGACTAGTGTACGGGACCGGTGAATAGATGTATAAAGCCTGAGTGTATATATACAATAACCATATAGTCAGTCATATATGGTCGTATGAAAAATTGTCACTAGATGTGATATATATGTAATATTCACAGGTTAGATGAATATTAAACAGGAATTTGTTGTAATATTACATATTTTTTATCAAGAATTTTCTTATCATAACCAAATATAGACAGGTATTTAAGAGGGTTAGTCTTATTCATTATTCATATGGAAACTAAAAATTTTAATTAAAAGAATTTATAATGGTAATCAGTGATAACAATTGTTCATTAACTCTCTTATTTTTCTTGCTTAAGCACAGCATAGATACAATAGAAGTATGTGAAAATATGATCTGTTTTCTTTGAACAGCCAAATTTGAAATATCAACTTTTATTTCATACATCAAGATTCAAATAAGCAACAGAATTGGAGATATCAACGTAAGTGAAATAGTTAACAGTACGTTGACTTAACAATAAATTATATGAATGAATAATAACATCAATATCAAAGATGTTAACAATGCTAAAATGGTTAACAACTCCTGTGTTCGAACTCCTTGAAGTATCGTTTTATATGTTAAGCCTATATACTTTATTCTAGCTTCTGGCCAAGCCAATTCGCCTGTCCGTTAGGGTCATATTTTCATCTTGTCAACTATTCACTTATTAATCCTGACCATTTTTGTATGAGCGTAGTTGTGTGTACCCTTCTTATCCTATCTATCACATGTCTGTCATTTATTCTTGTCTGACCAAAAATATTGATTAACAATTGCTTAAAGCGAGTTGGCTTACCAGCCATCTCCAATACGTGTCATTTTTACTTCGCTCGCTGATATTCGCTCATGTGCTTATAACTTTTTGGCCTGCGTCATTTGACGATAAACTGTAGCTGCCGCTTCCCTTTGCCTTCTGGTATTATGCACCGTTAAGATTTGTATTACAATGGTTATCGAGGTGAATAACTAACGAAGCACGGCACTACATCCTATCTGCACATGATTCAGTTTGATCAGCCAAGTAATTATACTAGCCGTTACATGCACACAAAATCGAGGATAGAAATCTGTACTTAATAAAGAGTTATATTATTCATAAATCTATATTACACAATGACTTTTGGAGTCAGTAAACCAACTAAGCAGAAGCTATCCTCAAGAAAGATTGTAGAGAATGAATGATCATAAAATGATATTACTGAAAATGTGTAGTTATTGAGATTACTTATCGAGAAGTCCTGAATCATTGAATCAGGTGTGAATAACAGAGTGTACGAGTGATCAGTAAAATATGATGTTATAATTGTAGCTAAGCTTCAATCTAATGAGTTATTCATTATTGATATGTAGTTCAGAAATCTTATGGATATTTAAGAAAACGTCGAGTCCCAGAGTGAACATCAACTCTGAGATACAAGCATATCCAGCCGAAGAGTCCCAAATAGGACGAAACGTGCGTCAAACTGGATTTCACTGATAGCCACCATCCATTGTGGAACTCCTCAGCAGTGCGCATCCACGACCCACAATAGGGCGAAACGGCCATCCAGTGCTTCCAGGTTTTCCTTGGAGGTCTAGCTTCAATTGACTCATACTTTCAACTATGCAAATACTAAATCTCCACAAAAACCCCTTCTGAAAATAAAAAGTCACAGTTACACAGTTACATTATACAACTATTTAGTAGTATGTTATATTCAATTTCTTAATTAATTAGATAAGAGATTCGAAGAATTCATTGGAATAATGTCTCTACCATTTAAAACATCAAAAAGACTAGGGTATGTTACTGATATAATGAAATTATATAGGAATTAGTTAGTATTTATAAAGTTGATTAACTAATAACAATATACAGTTGAGAGATTTTTTCTAGATTTTCCTATTATAGACTTTGTTACAATAGAAACGATTATTTAATGTAGTTTATCCATGTAGACCAGATGAATGGTAAGATAGGAGTGAATTTTGTGTAAACTGCCAATATCTCATGTGAACTACATAGTTACGCTGAGTTCCATCTATTGATATCTCTACATTACATTCAGAACATAAGTATATCATAGACATTTAACTGGAATATAAGTATAGACAAAATGTAGTAGTTGATACATAATAAGCAAAGATGGATGGTGTCTAGCAGTGAAATCCAGGACGCGCGTTTCATTCAATTTGGGACTAATCAGCTGAATGTATGTGCATCCTAGTGTTGGTGTCCAACCCCAGGACTCGAACGTAGTACCACTCGCCCAAAACCCCATCGCGTTATCCAAATAATACAAAATGCATTAATTCATACATAGTTTATTCATTCCAAAATGACTATGAAATGTATATATCTATATATATGGTGTTAATTTCAGAGGTGTTTCACATAAATCTCTCCGAATACTGACTTCTATTCAATCAGTTATTAACATCGTAGAGCCTAGCATAAGTATGTATTAGCCCAATTTGCAATGACAATGAGAAAGACTAAAAATTGGACTCATACTTCGAGAAAAGAAAACAGGATAATAAAAAAATATGTATGGAAGGATATTGGCAAATGGAAGAAGGACTGGGAAGATGTTAAAAACTAAATAGTCTACTTATAATAGATAATTTACTTTACAAAAATATACATATAACCTTATAAATAATATGTAATAATACTTACACCAGTTGACTGAATTAATATATGTTCACTACCAGGAACAGCTGATGTTGGACCTTGTATAAATGCAATATAAAATATTGATGAATAATAATTGACAAATTGTAATAGGTATAATTTTAGCGTTAAACTATTATCATATTCCACTTGTGTACGATGATGTTCAATATCAGTTAATTTAGTAGCCATACGATCATAAATCTGGAAAATTAAAAAAATAGAATGAATTATTAAAATAAATAAGAAAAACTATAAGTATAGATAATTCTAGGAGTTCTAGTGAGAAGCCGTCAGTAGTAGAGTTCAACCGTGTAAAATGTAAGGCGGTAAACTATCGAAAACAATGGAAAATGGTTGAAGTTAGACTCCGGTTCAGTGGTCTAGAGGATAAGTGATCACGTATGAGATCGAAGATAGTGGGTTCAGTGCAGGGTTGTGGATGTGCACTGACGAGTCCCATGCTGGGACGAAATGGCCGTCCAGTGTGCTCCTAGGTTTTCAATGGTTATCTAATATTGATCTTAATGAAAAATAAAAAGTTAGATATTGTTTAGTAAAATGTTTAAACATTAATCAAAGCTGGGAAACAAATTTAAGAAAAAATTGTGTGAATATTTGTAGATATCTTAACACTAAAAGTAGCTGAAGTATGTATTCATCTCTGTTCAAAAGAAATATGGTAGCTGGAAGTAATCAACACCACTCAGCCAAGGTTTCACGATGGTAGATACTCATCAACAAGGCATACCTACAATTTTACTTTTATTAAGGAATATCATCTCTCTCAAGATCGTAGATACACCTTACTGACAGTTGCCAACTGGCATAAAACTATAGTCGAGTAGATTTTCCTGCTGAGTACCCACAACCAGATAATTTCAAAAGATACTATTTATAGTCAACTTCAATCTACAACAGAAAACTAACTGAATGGTTATTGTCAATTAGTCTTACAGCACAGTAAAGTGTTCAGTAATGTGATACAGACCATGTTACAGGACGGATCGAAATTTGGAGCAGAAAACTAACTACTGTTAACATCGACCCTACGGTCCGAAATATCGAGTTCTAATTTATCCACTCCCTCTTAGTAAAAAAGCTAATGAGTCGAAATTTATCTAAAATCAAAAATATTATACCACAAACTTTATAAGAACGTTACTGAAAAGAAACGTTTTCGATAATGAATTAAAATATTCCACGAATTATTGAATTGCCACTTTATGTGTGTTTACCAATGTTGTGTATGTGGTCAGACTTAACTACGATGCACCACTCCTAGTAGCACACAAAACCCACTACGTAAATGAAAAGATTGAAGTAGGTAATTTCAATTGCCCAGACGAATTTCGAAATGTTCCTATTATGCGTATATACATACATGCGCTTGTTCTACTACCTTACATGCAACAAGACAATTTGGACTTCGAAGATGACCCAGATCTCATATACCATATACACTAACGAATGTAGGTGAAGAAACCCAGTGTAGCAGTAGCCTCTGCAACAGTAGGCTTCAGCACACAAGAAAAAGAGAAAGATCATCAAATACTACACGGTGAACACCAACCAAATCAAACTTGATGGAGCTCTCAAAGAGGTGGGCACTCTCACGAACCACGGAAACATCATCGACGAACAAGGAGAATTTGATGCAGATGTAAAGACAAGGATTGCCAAAGCAAGAGCAGCGATTCTACAGATGAAGAACATATGGAACTCAAAACAACTGTCAACCAATACCAAAGTCACAATCTTAAATACGAACGTCAAGACTGTTCTACCGTACGGAGTTGAAACTTCGAGAGCTATTATTATCAAAAAGTACAAGTATTTCTAAACAATTGTCTAGGTAAATAATTGAATGTCCATCAACTAGATAACATCAACAACAACCTACTGTGGCAAAGAACAAACCAACTCCAATCTGAAGAGGAAATTAAGAAAACATACTGCAGGTGGACAGGACATACATTGTAGAAATCATCAAAGTGCATCACGAGGCAAGCGCTTAATCAGAATCCTGAAGGGAAAAGGAAAAGAGTAAGACCTAGGGACACATTGAGTGGGTAATTGGAAGCAGACATCAAAAGAATGAATACAAACTGAAGAGAATTGCCCAGGACAGAGTTCGATGGAGAATGCTGGTGGGTGGTCTATGCTCCTCTACGAGAGGTAACAGGAGTAAGGAAGTAAATAAGTAGGCCTGTTCTTTTGAAGGACAAGGACATGACAAGAACTTTACCAAAAAAAAAACAAATGAAAGAAGAACACTTCAAAATCTAGCGACAGATTAAACATTGAAAAAACCACAGACTCTCATAGCATACTTTTCTAACATGTACAAATTTTACAATAGATGAACACAATGAGTAGTCTAATTAAACTTACTAGTTTTAAAAAGAATATTGTCACTAAATTAACAAAAGATCCAGTCATAGTAGCAATCATACCAGCAGTACTTTGTACCATTGGATTATGATGACGGTATAGAATCGCTTTGATCACTAATTTGTACAAAACCACACCAACAAGAAAAGCTAATGTGAGTATCACCTGTGCAATAGAAAGTATGCATACACATACATAATAAAAAGTGAGATAATAGTATGAATTTATAATTATTAACTGAGCAAAATCATCCACTTATCATCGCCTAAAAAAGACCCCAAAATGTTTCTTCAAAGAAAGACCAATAATATATATCTGAGTCATTAGAGACTGAACAGTTTCAGTCCTAAACATCAATGGGAAAATTCAAACAAACAATACTAAGGGAATTTAAACTTTAACCCATTGCACAAGCAAGTGGCTATCAGGACTCAGTAGCTGAGTGGATAACGCGATGGCGTTTGAAGCGAAAGCTACTGGGTTCGAGTCCCAGAGTGAATATCAACTCTGAGATGCGGGTACATCCAGCTGACGAGCCCCAAATAGGACGAAACGCGCGTCAAACTGGATTCCACTGCTAGCCACTATCCATCTTTGCTTACCATGCTTGTGAATTTAGGCTATATCGAGGCGATACTCACAGTATGCACATATGCCAATTCGAGACTGACCAGTTGCAGTCCTAAACATCAATGGGAAGATTCAAACAAACAATACTAAGTGAATTTATCTGAGTCATTGTTTACAATAACTTTATCTTAATCAATCGGTTATAACCAACGTAAAATTTAGCACATATACGCATAATTTCAAGTTGTCCAACCTATATCAGCATAGCGAGGTGAAATTACTAAAAGATCAGGATAAAAGATATAATAACAGTATGGATGGTAATAAAAACGTTTAGACAAAGATATTATTATTCAAAAGGAAAGAATAGATTCGCTGCATAAAAAAGTGTAGGATAATTCTAAAACTCGAGATCTAAAATCAGTGAGTGAATGTATTTGTTCTATTCTAGCCGATTTTAAGTCATGTTAACCAACAACATCCTTACCCACTAGTAACAATAATCGTGCGGATTCCAACTGGATAGTCTGGACTCATCGACACAGCTTCATTAATTAGTCAATGACTTCATGGTCTGATGTCAGGAATAACTTACTCAAGCTTTATAGTTATTAATCCTTCAAAAATCAGCTCAACAACCGTTGTGACCGAAAAACAGGGTGAGACGGATAAATAAAGTCGGCGAGAAAACCGTTTATGGCTCTACTATTCCACACTTTAGCGATTTTCACGATGTCATTATTGTCATAATCATAATTAACTCAACATGACATTCTACATATTTTGCATTGTATTCACCAGATTTTAGTCTATTTTGAATGTAACTCGAAATTTCAATGCGTTTTCCCTCACTAATTGTATAATTCGTAAGTAGTTAAACTGGAATTGATATATCACACGGTGTAATTTGATAAAACTCTTTATGAGTATATTGTTTGGTGATAATGATGGTTAATAAAAATTTGCGATTTCTTACTGTTGATATTCAGAACTGTTATTGATCAGTTTTTCAGTTGTCACAGTTCAACTTTTTAAGTGAATTGTAAACTTACAGTATAATATTTGTGACAGTTCAACACCAAATATATAATGCATCTTAAATATACAGTAAAAAATCATAACTAGGAATTACAATTGCAGGACTAAACAAACACTATATAGATACACTAACAAAATTACTTAGAGTACAACTGTTATCTAACACTTATGTTGAAACCAATGATATGTATTTTCATCATTTCAAAAAAAAGAACAGGATAACATAAAAAAGAATAAATGGACTTACAGTTAACAGAACAGTAGAGAAACTGACCAAGATAATTGGTACTTTACGTCGCCAAAATGGAATAAATGGTTCCACATACTATGAAAAAAATGGAAAAGCAAAAAGTTACATAGTATTCCCCACAAGTTGATCATGAATAAGGTGTTATTAAGAACCAAAAAGCACTTACTAAACATCTATTTCGTCATAGCAAGGGTTTTCTCAAGAGTCTATACTAACGAGCCCATTAGGCAGATCGTACCTTAAAAAATTCAGTTCTTCAGATAAATAATTATTAAAACCACTGGATCAATCAATACCTAACGGTATACATGTTCAACTACATACTTGTGTAATCCTGGTCGGCAGCTTATGTTCTACAGAAAGGTTAATGGGTGTCATTAAGTAAGAAAGTAATGTATCACTTTCTCTCTACTCAAAGTGTATACAATGGATCTTTCATGCTTGAAATAACAATTATTAACAGAAATATTCTATAGTACGTTGAATAAAAACTGATAATTATTTAAAGGTAAAAAATAAGACAGAGTAAACTCAATCTGAGAAGGAGTAAACAACATTAGAAATAAAAATTATAATAAAACATTCTTACTTACTCCAGTTAAGGAATTCACTTTACGAGGACACCTTTTACTAAGTAATGCCATAAATTCTGGTCTCGGCGGTTGATGCATTGGTTCTAGTGAGTATACATTCCAACGATAAGCTAATGAGACTTGCTTACGTTTCCACATTTCGAAAAATATTACAGCTATTTCATAAAAATGTAGAAACGATAGGAATTTAAGAAAAGATGATTGCATATGATTCATTCTACCATTTCTTAAGTAGTAATAAAAATATAAGTAATGGAGTATAACTAAATATTCCCACTTAACTAACTCTGATTATTTGTCGAGACAGATTTACTGAGCTATTGACGTGTCGAAGCTACAAATATAGAAAGGGAAAGCCATACTATTTCACTATTTTATGAGCGAGATATAAGATTGAACAACTTACACAAATGACTAGTCACGAACTTGTATTGAGTATAATAGTATTTGTTGAAGCTCAAAGTATGTTAGAGTGTACAAAAAATGTACGAACCCATCTATTTAATGACAGAGGGTTAGAATTGTGTAGAAAAATTCAGATAAGATGATCGAAAGGTCTGAGAGAGAAGCAAAAAAATTCCGGTAAGTCATGATGAAAAATAATCCTAATGATACAGAAACCCATTTGTTGGGGACGTCAGGTCCCCGGAACTCACTTGTAAAAGGTCCTAAATCTGTAATTTTATCATGAAAATTTAAATTTAATGCTTTCGTGCCAAGAGACGCTTAATTGACCTACAGCCTACATTTCCCACTCGGAATTCCTTGACTGTCATTGGTTGACGGATTTTTTTTAGTACGCTATTTTGTGGCTATCCCTAAGGGCGTTTCTATTATAGTATAAATAAGCTTGATTTGTGTACTTAGTGACCTCGTATTTTCTGGGTGCTTGTAGAAAACATTCTCTGCGCCTCATCAAGACTTCTTGATCTAGTTAGCAGGGCCGTGGACAACGGATTACAAAAGCTTATCGTGCCACTGTGTCTTTGACCTTTTCGTTCTGTTTACCGAGTAACGTGAACTCTTATCAGCATTAGGCATATCACCTTTACTTACACCTCCATATATTCATTTAAAATACTGGTTTCACTCTTCTAAAAAAAGCTCTATTTGTTTGTAAAGTATACATAGAAAACAAAACAGATTCTTCACCAAACATCTTTATCTGTCTCAAGTTTTAGAGTTAGTTTTCCGCAGGGCAACACAATTCTAGGAAATGGGAAGACTTAGAAATGTGTTACATATTTGAAGGTAGTTGACAAGTAACTTTGTTTGATTGTGAATCAATAGCTAGTTGGCACTAGTTAGTAAAGCGTATCTGTAATTATTAAGAGAATTAGTGCGCTTGTGCAGTTTGAGCCCCGGTCACTCAGATTTACAGTATGACACCGTACCACTGAACTATTAGAGCTGTAAGTGAACTCTTGAAGGACTGAAATATTTACGGTTAAGTGACCAATGTCATGTTTGTTAAGTGTTTTAGTGCTGATGGATCAAAAAATTCGGAAATGTACCAATCGTCTAGACGATAAATATTCCAGACTGCTATTCATATAGGAAACCAAAATGAAAATGAAAAATATTTTGTTACACAAAAGTTTAAAATTCTTGAAAACGTTATAAAGAGAATCGACATACCCCACAAAGACATAACCACAGCGAATAAAACAGTTCCTTCATGATCCACTAAACGCATTAACTTAGTGCGTAAACAAGATCTGTTTAGAGTCCAAAATTCGCATTTCGGTGATTTACATAGTGGACACATATATATGTTTTGACCGAGATCACATACTTCATGGCTTGAAAACAATATCGACATTACCAAAAAAGAAAGAAAATAAGCTGAGTTGTAGGAGGCATATACTAAAAAAGGGAGAGACTATACTTTATGGACGAACCAATCAGGTATAAGATAACAGGTCTCGGATTTCGGCGCTAAGTTCACTCATCTATATAGGAAAATAGAGTTTTGGCATTATAGCTGATGTCAGTTTGTGATGAAAACCTTAAGTCTGCTTCTTAACCTTAAACATCAACTGTAAATCGTAATTCTAATTCCTCACACTGGTTTATAAACCTTACTTGGTCCTAGTTATTAGGTGGACACTATCAAGGTCACTTTGTCGTCGCTCAAAGGTCGCCCATGAACTATAATCTCATCTAAAAAAGAGGGCCATCTTGATTAAAACAATGAATCAGTGAAAATATTCAGTCAGTCAGTCAGCTACAACGTAGGACCAGGCACATATATGCATCGGTCCAAGTTGCCATACCTCGTTAGCACAACAAGATGAACACCGGATTTATAATAGTTAATTTAGAGGTGGTAGTAGTATATAAATCAGCTGAAAAGAACAACTATTATAGTATAAATCTTAGTGATTAAAATTAAAGAACTATAACATTTCACTGAAGCTTCTTTAGGTAAATCGTCAAAAGTCAGAATTAAACGATTATTCAACCAGAAGGGGTTTTGTGGAGATTTCAGTATTTTTCAAAGTTGAAATCATGAGTCAATTGAAGCCAGACCACCATGGAAAACCTGGAAGCACTGGACGGCCATTTCGTCCTGTTGTGGGACTCCCCCTTGGTTAAATGCTCTGGTGCGAGACTGGTACGTCATGGGTTCGAATCTCGTGAGGCGAGGTCGTGGATTCGCACTGTTGAGGAGTCCCGCGATAGGAACGAAACGGCTGTTCAGTGTTTCCAGGTTTTCCATGGTGATCTATCTTCAATTGACTAATGATTTCGATTATTCAACCATGTTAACATGTTAGATATTGGTGTCTAGTGTGTGAAATTGAGTCATCTAATGTGAATTATGTTCAATTAGTAGTATTAATTAGAGAAACGCACGTACATGTATGCAATGTGTATTTAAAAACAAAACAAATGACCATATATAGATAGTACTAGGCTATAGTTAGGGTTAAATTAATCATTCTAATTGATAGTCACATATTAAACTTATCAGGACACACAGATTACGAATAAATAAATTGATAAATAGTTTAACTCTTGTGTTGCTATAATGACATTTTTTATAAATGTATAAAATATTTGACCTTGACAAGTCCAAGAAACAAATATGATCATGGTTGTGAAAGAAACAACTCAAAGAAAAAGGTAACAAATGAAAATAATCATTAATAACATCATGAATATAACATTATATCTAATAAAATTAATCAGGCATTGAATATTCAATCAATAAAGTCAGCTAGTTAGCAATACGCAACACAAAACCTAACACATGTATACATTAGTTCAAGCTCCTACAACAAATTAGCCTAACAAGACAAGACAAATCCCAGAGTAGTATAAGTAGTAATAGCAGAAAGGACCAACCGCGCGAAAAGAAAATACATGAATATGAATGATACAGTGTATGGTATACAGATATATACCAAACGAGAAATTTCTATGATTAAGATGTAATCATGTAATTATATTCAATTTGCTCAATGATAATTCCTCAACAAACCTAATTATGCGTTTAAAACAATGTTTTATTTACTTATTATCTGACGGACTTTCTTTAAAATTACATTTTTAGTTATTTAGTAGAACACCATTGCTGTCAGTCAGTCAGTCAGCGACAACGTAGGACCAGGCACATATATGCATCGGTTCAAGTTGTCATGCATAGTTAGCACAACAAGATGAACACCGGATTCATAGAAGTAATTAATTTAGTGGTAGTAGTATATAAAGAAAGCTTGTATATAAGGATATAGTATAGGAAGGAAAAAGTTATGAAGCAATTTTAATCTTAAGGTTTAAGGGAAGATAAGGAGTGTATACACCTACGCCATTGTGATCGATTCTGAGCCATGTCACACAGAGTCTCCAACCATTTATTACGATAGTCACGCGGACCCCAACCAGGTAGTCTGCATCTACCAACATGGCTCAGACTAGAAGTTAGTGACTTCAAGCACTGATGTCACGTTTTGGTTTGGCCGCCCCTAACTTTCTTCCAACCATCCCCTACACTAGTCAGCATAGCGCGTCGTGGTAATCGGTGTTCAGGCATAAGTAACACGTGGCCCAACCATCTCAGTCGATGAAGATTCATCACCTCATTAACTGATTTACCATCATTCCCCAATATCCTGTGTCTAACCTCATTATTACTTACCCGGTTATCCCAGCAGATGCGAGCAATATATCTAAGACATCTGTGGTCAAATACTAGTAACCTACGAGTATCTTCTACTCTTAGTGACCATGTTTCGCAGCCGTAAAGTAGAACAGAACGAACTGCTGCGCAGTATACTCGTCCCTTAATTGATAGACGGATATCTCGTCTTCGCCACAGGTGACGTAAGTTGGCAAAAGCCAAACGAGCTTTTTGAATCCGTGCTGAGATTTCGTCAGACACCAGCCCATTGGGGCTGATCAGACCATTGCTGTACGTAAAATAAATCAAAAGACAGTCTTTTAAAGTAACATAGAAATTATCCACAAACACATGATTACAACTCGTGATTTCTAATCTTAGCAATAGAGTTTGATAGTTAAAAGTCGATTAATGTATCAGACAATATACAGTCTTTTTTCTTACTCTTGCATGGAAGCTAGAGCTACTACTCCGTGAACTTTCAGAATTAAAACAGATACAAATGGATTAAAATTTACATGCTAAGTGAAGTGAAAATTCTGAAATACTTTAAAAATTAAACACTAAGTGTGATGTAATGCAAAATTGAAACATGTAGCTTCGCTGTAAAACTATAAAACCAGATTCAAGTAATCTGTAGTGCCGTGCTTCGTCAATTGTTCACCTTGATAACCGCTATATTTCCAATCTTAGTGAATAGTTAACAAGGTTAAAATATGATTCAAGATGGATGGGTAAATTGGCTTGTCCTGAAGCTACAATAAGGTATATGGGTTCAACATATCAACCGACACTACAAATCCTATGAGTGAAAATGTATTAAAACCAATATAAACAATCTTACTTCACAGAATAATTTCCTATTGTTAAAAAGAATTAGAGGAGCAAATTTTTATTGGAACACTGAGCAATGAGCATTCAGGGTTTCAATTGAATTCAAGTTCATATCAAAGATTTAAATACATCTTGTTAATAATTTAAAGGATGAGTTAATGAAACTACACGACATTAAAAATCTTGACAGCAAACAACAACTGTCAACAGACACATTGGTAACATTGACATGTGTTAGTGTAGGGTTGTGTAGATTGTTGAATTTCATGGAAATCATGAACCGATCAAAGGAAGACAAGCACTGGACGGCTACCATTGAATCCTGGCTAAATGATCTAAAGGTTAAGGATTCGTGCGCGAGACCAGAGGCTCCCATTCGCAGGGTTGTGAATGGGCACTGCTGAGAAATCCCGTACTGTTAGGGTAGACTAATTGCTGTCAAACACATATTACTCATAATGATTTAGCATTCCTATTCTTTCACATTTAAAATATCCGTCTGCTATTACCTCACTTTTTTACACTTCACTTACCAGATGAAAAATCAGTCACGATATATGTTTAAATCAGAAAACATCACACCAGACAAGATTCATGTTAAAAATCTATTACTTTATTCTAAGTGTTCAATACAGTGGGTTTTTGTATAAAAATTTGAAAAGCAACTGCAGACTAGAGAGAAATGGATAAAAGTTTACATCTACGACTCCATACAGGACATATACTTAATAATGGATAGTAAACAGTATGGTGAGTTCGTGCACATAGTTACTTTTGTAATGGACAACACTAGCTGACCTCAGTCCCGACAGTTGCTGCTACCTTAACGTGGTGGTCGGGCTTGCCTATCGTGATAAAGTAATCGAGCTATGCTGACTGGAACAATCGTTCATCTAGGTTCTACCATGCCAGACAGGTCGGTTAAAGAGCGGTAAGACTAAAAGCAGAAATCCCAAGGTCCGAAGGCGAAGTAGTACTGCTGACTGTACAGAGGTGTGACAGCAGTAAGGTGTTTCCTTCAGACAACAAGCATAACAGCGATGCTGCCTTCCCACAAGGAGGGGTGGGGTTAGAAAACGTCGACCCTAAAAATGCACACCTCGCCTTATCCCACGGATTTCCGTCTCCGGCGGTGGGCCCCCAAATATCCTGGTACGGCCGAGAGTGAGGAGAGTCCACTCTCCCTCTCCAAATGCTCTCACATGGCCAGCGAATATATAGCCTCTGACAGAGAAGTCCTACTCACTGCCCTCTAACACCAGGGGTGTTGTTTACGAAAGTGAGAGGACGAAAAGCGAATGTCCGGTGCTTTAACCGGGTTGGTGGACAAGGCGAGTCCACCTAGGGGAGTTGAAAAACCCTGATTCCAAACCAATGGTGAACATGGGCTCCAGTATCCTGAACGAACAAATGGCGTACGAATCAATCATTGATCACCGGCTACCAAGGGACTGCATCTCCTCACAATGCTCCACTGCCTTGTGGATCAGATCTTTCGGTCAAAGACTCGGGGTGTGTCCCCCTAAGAAAACCACCTGCTTCAGTTCGGGCACCTGGGCAGTATCACAGCCCTCAAGCAAATCGAATGAGATTTGTATGGCACATATGTATCTGGTGCTTCCTTGTACCAATATCTATGTGTTGAAATAAATAAATAATGTCTCCGGCGGTAAGGTCTTTAGAAGAACGGAGCTAACCCAAAAATCACCCACAAAAAGGTCGTGTGTGACCGACCTCAAGAAGTTGTCCCTTGGACACTGCGGTCACGCTCTCAGGTCATTAAGGCCACTTCTAACCCAATTTCCTTTTCAGGTACCCCTAGAAGAACCCTTCCACGGTGTGGGCAACCGGGAAGTGATAACTGCCCTCATACCTCTAACAGTACTAAAGATCACTGTACTCATAATCAAACTTCTTCTTCAATTCCTACTATTTCTTCTAGCTTGACTTTCAACACTAAACTTCCTCTTCCGGTTTCCTCCTCAAGTGTCACCATGGCCAACGATTCTAGTGCGCGAAACGCTGTCCCAGGTCTACTAAAACCTCGCTCCAAACTACACATTGGAGCCTTCAACGTACGTACCCTATGCCAAATCAGTCAACAGGCCTCCTTAGCCAAAACCCTAGAATCTCGTACCATTGATGTATGCTGTGTCTCTGAAACACGCATACAGGACCCTAGTGTGGTCATTCACTTGACCTCACCTCGACAAGATGGAGAGCAAACGAGATACACCCTCCGTGTATCTGGCGACCTGTTGGCTAGTTCTCGTTGACTTGCAGGTGTAGGCATAGCACTAAGTACAAGGGCAGAACAGGCACTACTAGAATGGATCCCCGTTAACAGTCGCCTGTGTGCTGTCCGGCTAAATGGCTCCGTAAGAACTCGGAAGGATAGTGACACACGTCGTTGCCTTTTCGTCGTTTCTGCCTACGCTCCCACTGACTCCCATGATGAAGTGAAAGATGACTTTTACAGAAAGCTCTATGAGCTTCTTCAAAAAGCTAAGCGCTCAGACATAGTAGTCGTAGCGGGTGACTTTAATGTCCAGGTAGGCAGCTTAAATCAAACAGAAAGACATTTAGGTGGGTGTTTTAGTATCCCGGCTCAACGAACCGATAAGTTCACATCTAGGCAGTTTTGTAAACAAGACTGACACAGATGCTGCTTGGAAAGACATACGAACAGCTGTGTAAAACAGCAGTAACATCTATTAGTTATTTAAATCATAGGGCTCCAAAAAACCAGTGGATTTCTTCTAAGTCTATTTCACTGATGGAATCGCGTACAAATAAATCCCATCAGGCTCTGAACACGACCAAGAACGTAAACAAATTAGGTCTAGGTTAACTAAAAGTCTAAGGAACGATCGTGAGCAGTGGTGGGCAACGAAAGCAAAAGAGATGGAAAAGGCAGAGGCTGTAGGCAACACCAGGCAACTATTCAGACTAATAAAATAAACCGGAATTAGAAGTCAAGTGTAAGTGAGACAATCTCAGAAAAAGACGGAACCCTTATCTGCTCTCAACCCAAACGTTTAGAACGATGGACGGAACACTTTAAGGAGCAGTTTAGCTGCCCTTCAGCTACTGCACAACTACCCACTATTCCCATAAAACATGAATGGGACATTGAAGTAGGCCCCTCGACCCTACTTGAAGTTTAAAAGGCTATAGGTAATCTAAAATGAGGAAGAGCAGTTGGTCCAGATGGATTGACTCCAGAGGTCTTTATATATGGTGGTCCAATTTTAGAGATTAGGTTGACTAATATTCTGGCCAAAATCTGGGAAACGGACATAATCCCATCTGACTGGTCACAATCTCTGATTGTCCCAATATATAAGAAGGGGCCAAAATCATCCTGTGATAAACATAGAGGGATTAGTCTGACTAACATAGCATCTAAAATACTAGCCTCAATAATTATCGGGCGCCTAACTAAGACTCGTGAACTGCAAACACGAGAAAATCAGGCTGGCTTCAGACCTGGTCGTGGCTGTATCGACCACATATTCACCATTTGTCAAGTTTTGGAGCACAGATATGCTTATCGGCGTCCGACAATGATAGTTTTTCTTGACTAAAAAGCAGCATTGGACTCTGTAGACCGAAAGGTTCTGTGGCAGTGTCTGTCATTGAGAGGTGTATCTGAGAAGTACATAAACCTTGTGAAGGCTCTTTACTCGAACACTACCAGTCGAGTGAAAGCTTATGGCAAACTGTCATATGATTTTACAAACTCAAGTGGAGTCCGTCAAGGCTGTCCACTACACCCATTTTTGTTTAACTTCATTATAGACCTGTTGCTGGAAATAACACTCTCGTCGACTGAATTTTCAGGAATTGATCTTCTACCAGGAGGTTCACTTATCGACTTAGAATACGCAGATGACATAGTCCTGTTTGGTGAAGACACTGACAAAATGCAGAGTCTTCTGTTGGAACTCAGTAATAATGCCAGGATGTTTGGGATGCGTTTCTCCCCATCCAAGTATAAATTGTTACTCCAGAACTGGCCTGCGTCAACACCTGAACTAAGGATAGGGAGTGAAGTGGTCGAACGAATCGACAACTTCACTTATCTTGGAAGTCTGATCAGCCATAATGGGTTGGTGTCTGACGAAATCTCAGCACGGATTCAAAAAGCTCGTTTGGCTTTTGCCAACTTACGTCACCTGTGGCGAAGACGAGATATCCGTCTATCAATTAAGGGACGAGTATACTGAGCAGCAGTTCGTTCTGTTCTACTTTACGGCTGCGAAACATGGTCACTAAGAGTAGAAGATACTCGTAGGTTACTAGTATTTGACCACAGATGTCTTAGATATATTGCTCGCATCTGCTGGGATAACCGGGTAAGTAATAATGAGGTTAGACACAGGATATTGGGGAATGATGGTAAATCAGTTAATGAGGTGATGAATCTTCATCGACTGAGATGGTTGGGCCACGTGTTACTTATGCCTGAACACCGATTACCACGACGCGCTATGCTGACTAGTGTAGGGGATGGTTGGAAGAAAGTTAGGGGCGGCCAAACCAAAACGTGACATCAGTGCTTGAAGTCACTAACTTCTAGTCTGAGCCATGTTGGTAGATGCAGACTACCTGGTTGGGGTCCGCGTGACTATCGTAATAAATGGTTGGAGACTCTGTGTGACATGGCTCAGAATCGATCACAATGGCGTAGGTGTATACACTCCTTATCTTCCCTTAAACCTTAAGATTAAAATTGCTTCATAACTTTTTCCTTCCTATACTATATCCTTATATACAAGCTTTCTTTATATACTACTACCACTAAATTAATTACTTCTATGAATCCGGTGTTCATCTTGTTGTGCTAACTATGCATGACAACTTGAACCGATGCATATATGTGCCTGGTCCTACGTTGTCGCTGACTGACTGACTGACCTCAATGGCAAACTGATTATTTAGTGGTTAAACGTCAAGCGCTCACCACGAAATCTAAAAGATACAGGTCCCATCTCCAATAGGGTCAGAGATTCACACTACCAAAGAGTCATATACTAATACGAGACGGCTGTCAGAACTGGACATCAATCAATATTTATCGTCAGGATCGATCAAGAAATAAGGAAACTTATTGAAATACTTTGAGATGAAAATTCTATATTGTACCGAAAATATAATACTGAATTAAGCCACAAATAATCTCTGACTAATATAAGTTGAATAAAAGGTACAATCACTGTTAGGTAATCATGGTCCAATATACAACAAGTTAACTTTTTCTGCAATTACAATGCATAGTACTTCGATATACACTTGCACAAACATCTATTCATGTGATAAAAAATCTAAAAAAATTTATTGATTAATCTGTAGATAACACATAAACACTATTTCATTGATTACTTTTCAGATTGTTAGTTAGTGATTGTTAAAGGGTGAAAAGAAGTTACCGACTGAAAGAAATGAATAGTTAACAGCTTTATCCTATGATTTGTTCGATCATTTATTATTTATTTATTTAAACACATTAACATTGGTACAAGGAGACCATATGATTTATGTGAGGGTTGGGATACTGAATTAGATGGTTTTCTTAGGAAGCCACTTCCCAAGCCTTTGATCTAAAATTCTGATCCACAAGACAGAGGAGCAACATTAAAAGAGGTGCAGTCCCATGGCAACCAGTAACCAACAGTAGATTCATAGGCCATTTTGTTCTCTCAGAATCAAGATTTTCTAACTCCCCTGGGTGGACCCTCTGTATCCACTGACCTGATTAAGGCACCATACATTCGCTTTTTGTCCTCTCTATTTCGGAAACATCATCATCGCTGCGAGAAGACAGTGAGTAGGACTTCCTTGGCAGTGGTTGAATATACGTAGCCATGTGCGAGCATTCCGAGAGGGAGAGCTAATTCTGCCCGCCTTTGACTGTGCCATGGAATTTAGGGGGTGATTTGTTCAACAAACGAGTTATTTTCTGGTCTTCATGTATTCGCCTTCGAACCAAATTCTATGTACAATAGTTTATGATACTACGTGGTTGTGCAAACAGAAATAAGTGGAGTTGAACTCAAACCTAAAACCCGATGACAGAAAACCCGGACATCTTAACAAATACGCTATTGTTTTATCTCAAAAGGTGTGAGAGTCCTAGTGAAAACTGTTCCTAAAGACAAATTTATAATTTATGACTTTCGATTCTCTCATTATTGACTTACAATTCGTAATTGACCAAAAAGAGTCATCAGACAGTAGTCAAAAATCATTTAGGTGATAGAGGAAAGCGATAAAAGCAATGAAATAACTGGTGAGTTACAGGTTTGGATCCACCTCTGCCAACTTCACTTTCGGAAGCTTAATGCATTGGTTATTAGTCGATACAAACAATTTCAAAAAAGTTGAATCCATGAACATATATTCGGTACATAAGTTATATTATTTATATTGATTATATTTACAAATAGTGTTGATACACTAGTTAACTGAAAGATAGAATATATTAGGTAGGTAGTTTGAACTTAACAGGGCAACCATGATAAGTAAACCGGAAAAATGATAAGCCTATCAAAAGTGAAAATGATATCAGAGGGTATATGTCATGATTCCGCTGAACATTGTGTGTTCAAAGCAAGTTTATTGAAAATAATCTGATTAGATTCTCTTGTCGGTGGATGGAATTCACAGAATAAAAACAAGAGTATTTCCGACAAACTCATAATCGACACCGTATCAACAAACAATAAATAAACAAACACTTTGGTAGTGCATGGATATATATATATATATATACAATTTATACAACTTACATAATCGAGTCGGATTTTAAATCCAATAGACCAATTAGAAAAACAATAATTCCCAATATTGCAATTGGTAAAAGCCAAGCTGTGTAGAAACCAAGCCAAGCAAAATAGAAAGCCACAGCTTCTCCGAAATAATATCTAATTTGAATTGTAAGATGTAAAAAAAGCGCTGAAATTATTTTGTGAAATATAAATCTAGTTTTAGGACAACGGTAATTGTGGTGATTACAAAATTTTAATGGTTTAAGTCACGAACAAATCTTAGTTAAACTATCACTGAGATCATGGAAGCACTGATCGATTGTTCTGTCCCAGAATGAGATTCCCCATCAGTGCTCATCCATAAATCTGTACCCATGAATCGAACCCAAGACCTTCAACCTTGCACTTTAACACTTAACCTCCAAAACACTGAGCAAGAATCCGGTATTGTACTCGTCTAACTTTAGTCAATTTACGATGCTATCCAACCTTTATCTATTGCCTGGAATAAATAACTCTCACTCGTAGTGTGGTTGAATTTCATTGTTCAGGGCTTCTCACTAGAATTCCAGGATTCGCATCTTGAAGCTAGTCACCAGTGAGTACAATATTATCAGTACAGGGAGATTTTTGAATACTGTATAACTTTCACAATCTGAATCATTAAATGATCTTACCTCAACTATCATCGAAAACTTGTAATCAATTGCAGCTAGATAGGTGTACCACTGGATGCTGGCTCAGTGGTTTAAAGAGCAAGTTTTAGTGCGTATTAACGTTCAAGGTTGAAGGTCTTGGATTCGATTCATGGGCACAGGTTTACGAATGAGCACTGATGAGGAATCTCATACTGGGACAGAACGGCTGTTCAGTGCTTCCAGGTTCTCAATCGTGGTTAGGTTAAGTGTGTTCTCTATTCAAGCTATAATAAGTCTATTATTCTTATAACGTTATATTATGAAGTGTCAATTCTTTCTGAATTCTCGTCTGACAGATATATATTTCCTGAATTATTCATACAGCTCGCTGAGTAATCGATTACTTTTCAAACAATGAACACAGCAGTACTTGAATATTTATCTCCGAATAAATCTTTACTTCATGAATTAAAATTTATCACAAAAAAGTAGAGAGTAAGCAACTTAAGATCCAGTTCTTTACAGAATCAAGAAGTTTAAAGAGTCATTATATGATTAGAAGAAACTTGAATAAATCACAATTCAGCTGAATTACTTCGATGTACACTATTAACCCATGGATACATATATACTGTCGACCTTGTGGAGATTGTATTATGTTTATATTTGAATTTACGGGTCGGTCTAAGCTAGGTCACAATAAAAAACCGGAAAACACTAGAAGACCGTTTCGTCCTAATACGAGACTTCTCTGCAGTGCACCTTCACGATCACGCACACGGATTTCGAACCCAAGATTTTCGATCTCTCGTGAGGATCCTTAACCTCTAGACAACTGACTAATTCGCTTCAGACAATGAGTGAGAGGTTGAGCAAGATCATGGATAGGCTCAGTGGCCTAGTGGCTAAGCGTCCGCGTGCGAGACTGAAGGTCCTGAGTTCCAGCCCCGAGTGCGGGATGGTGGATGTGCTCTTCTGAGCAGTCTTATATTATATATTCATTTAGTATGACATTTACTGTTCGCTTCTATTAATTTAGCGTGTTATTTGTTCAATAAAACACTCAATGGCATAATTCCAGTGTAAAATTCAGTTTCATTCCAAACTGTTCCGGTTATGTATGACACTATTTGACTGATTATTAAATGACATTAAAATCGATAAACAAATAAGTGTGTTTGATCAAAAAATTATGGCCAGGCTACTGGATGATGAATAACGTCTTCACATGCTATCAGTTTTCGCCTTCTTATTTATGTCGTGCAAACCTGTTTTCGAAATGGTGAAGATTTGTGGCTTAGGTTGAACGATGAAAGTTCCATGACCAAACCATCCAGCTCAGAGTACAAAACTCCATTAAAACCGGATTCCTCCAACAATCTAAGTCTACTTTTCACAGTTGTAATAAGAATTCGGTTACTTAAGCTTCACTCTAAAAGACTTCCAGATATTGATGATCATAATCGTATAGAATTACTTAGAATTGTCAGTTTAATATTCGGTAAAAAAAACCCTATTTACTTGCTCAAATTAATTTTGTACTTGATGGTACACAGACGTCTACGACAAAAAGACATTCATTTTAGTAAAACAGTCATTCAGCATTTCTAGGATCCATAAGAAAACTCTTCTCAAATGCAAAACACAATAAAAATGAAAACGACTGACGGATTATTTAAAAGTTAGACGAAACACTCTCATGATATCAAACAACATTATATCCTGAAAATGTAAAGACCTACTTTGCATTTTTTTAAAAATTATTCAAACACTTACCTAATATAACTCATAGGTTGACATTTAAATAACATTTTATATGAAGCCCAATAACGTTGAAGTAAGATTCGATTATTGAATTCGGTCGGCTCTAGAGTACTACCAGCAGGCTGTAAGTAATGTAACAAATAACTAGACTAAAATGGGTTTTCTTCAGCGAATAAAAACTTAACTAATTGAATTGTGAAGAATGACTTGTTGAAGTACAAAAGAATAATAAAGTAGAGAGAGCTGTAAGATCAATGCAACTAAACAGATCATGTTAAAATATGATTGTTTATCATGACAATGACCTAGCGAAGTTTTAAAATAAATAGATTATGGTTAGTACCGGAGTCCCATACACGCATTTCGTCCTGTGTAGGACTCGTCGGGTGAATAGGCCTGCACCTCAGTGTTGATATTCAAATTGGGGCTAGAAAAGAATTTTAAATATCATCACAGATAGTTCAATCAAATATGGCAATAACAACCTAATGTAAATTTGTTATGAACTTAGAGAGCTTGCAGTTACAAGTCAAGATAACGATTTAAACCATGAGAGACAGTCGTTATAAATGGACAAATGTATCAATATTTTAGAATATTATTTATCGGATCCTAAATTACTGACCGAGTCACACTGTGGTCCTTGCTACATTCTGAGACCTTGGATTTTACTCCTGCATACAAAAGCCACAGGTACCCAATATTGAATTCCCAACCTAAAATGAATTAACTATACAGTACATTCGACTATATTGCAGTATTCCATTAGTTGAAATAATCTAAAGCTTTTATATAAAAAACTTTTACTTCTGTGTCCCATTACGTGAAAATAATATTTGTGAAGTTTTAAAGTTGCAAGCGTGAGTCAACTGAAGCTAGACCACCATAAAAAATCTGGAAGCACTGGACGGCCGTTTCGTCCTATTATGAGACTCCTCAGAAGTGCGCATCCAGTACCTCGCCTCGTAGGATTTGAACCCATGACCTACCAGTCTCGCGCCAGAGCACTTAACTAATAGACCACTGATGGTGTTTATGTCTAACTCCAACCAATCCACGAAGTTTGAGAAACCGTTCACCAATTGTCTTCAGTGAGTTGTTATCTCACAACAGACGTGGTTGAACTCCACTGGTCACTGCTTCTCACTAGAACTCCAGAATCTACCTCTCGAAGTCAGTCACTAGTGAGCATATGATTATTATTATTATCAGAAGGGGTTTTGTGGAGATTTAGTATTTTCATAATTGCAAGCGTGAGTCAATTGAAGCTATACCACTAAGGAAAACCTAGAAGCACTGGAAGTTTTAAAGAATGAAAACTATGAATTTAAGTAGTCACAATTGATTGATCACTGAGCGGTGATCAATCTCATGCGTGTCAGGTCCTTAGTGCTGATCGAATGCTATCGATCAAGTTGCAATGTGGCCACCAGTCTAGGTGGCTCGACACTGCGGGCACTATATATATTAGGGTAACATGATGGTTGGAGGTGGTCAACAGGAAACCCTGAACCCGGGTTTCGTGCTACTTGGCACTCGTCAGCAAGGTGTACCTGTAATATTAAGGGAACTGATGCTCCCTGGCGGATTCGATCCCGTGTCACTCAGCTTCACAGTCAGAGACGTTACCACTGAGCTATTCGGGCTGCGACCGACCTCCTGTAGGACTGAGATCTAACCACAATTGATTGATCACTGGGTGGTGATCAATCTCATGCGTGTCAGGTCCTTAGTGCTGATCGAATGCTATCGATCAAGTTGCAATGTGGCCACCAGTCTAGGTGGCTCGACACCCTCAAGATTGCAGGTACACCTTGCTAACGAGTGCTAAGTAGTAAAAAGCAAACTGAAATATGTTCCCTATTAGTGTACCCAATCACCTTTGCCTCAAAAAATGACACCACAATTTCTATATTAGATAGAAAAACAATAATATAATAATTAAAAACAAGTATTCAATTATTTGGTTTCCATTGAAATGTAGTTGTCATGAAAATAAACAATACGTATATAGAATTCCATTGAAAACGAGAAACAAAGCAATAATCGAATACGATATAAATCAATAAACTGAATAACAAAAATGAAAATCATGAAGTGAATAAATTTATTTGTAAGCAAATAGCTGAAAAGTACCAAAGAAACTTAGAGGCTGAGGTTATCAGTTACAATTTCAATGTTCAAGTATTGAGAGTTATATTGAGAGCACTTGTAGAGGCTAGCCCGACGAAAAGCTTACATAGCCTATTCTAGATTTTGGACAGATTAATTTATTCATTTGTCTTGAGTCAATTTTGACCTTGCCTAGATTCGTCTAAATCCGACCTGATTATAAATAACCATTTACACTTGGTTGAGTTGGCTAACACGCCTTCTCCAACGCGCATCATTTCGCTTCACTCTTTTCTCTCCAATTCGTTCCTCTAAATGCCTGTCTAGGTCAATGAGTGTACAAAATATGGGTATTGAAAACTTCATTTTCGTATTTGACTTATATAATTCCTTTATTCACTAACACGATTAAAGTCGATGGTCATGTACGAGGATTGACAATATGTATATTTCAATAACAATCATAATACCATTTCAATAGAGTTAGATATAGGGGCCATCAAACATTTTCAATCATCTTTTAAAATCTAATAAGTGGGTTATTGTTGCATGTCGGAGTGAAATTTTCACCAGAGCATTCATCTCAAAATCGAATTTTTATTTTATGTGTTGTCTTTATCCTATAGGTTGAGTTGCGCTACACTGTTATGTTTATAAGGTATAGTTGCGAATAACTTCAGACCCTTTAATTGAAACTTTCAATGAGTACTCACCTACGAAATGAACGATTAAAAAAAGCCGACAATAATGGACATAAAGCATAATACTTGAACACTGAGAACATGACGGATAATCTCAAACTAAAATGAAATGTGTTTTCATTGAAAACATAAAACTATGGTACAAAATAAGATAAAGATCGACAACTAAACACCAATTTATACATACACACATACAGATAAACAAAGCTTCAAAATATCAAACAGTTAATGAGTGAGTGAGTGAGTATACTGACACAAATAAGGTTGTAACATCAATTATTTTGTATACAACTGATAAGCAATCTAAACAAAACATGAATGATCTAAAGAAGAATGGGTTTAAAAGTGATCGATACACAGAATATCAATACTCGTACCATTAATGGGTAAATTGTAATGTCTTAGGCATTAGTCTTAAGTCACCATTATACTATTAGGAGAGTTCGTTGAAGTTAACTAACTTCATGTTGTTAAGCCCTTAAATGGATACTTTATCTTCATGTTACGATTGGAAGTAGTGTATTTTAGAACTATGTTTCATGCTAGTAGATACTCGTTGGAAAGATGAATTCGGGATCTTCAGAGAACTGATATTGCTTTAAAGATCCAAACTTACATCAGTCAGTGCTGGTAGAATTTGATCAATAGAGAAGATGAGATAAAATGACATTGTTTTCTATTCAGTGAAGCATAAATGTTAACATGGTAATATTACAAGAGGTAATGAAGTCTACAGACTAATTGGTTAGGGTCTGAGCTATCACAAATCATAACTATCATACTTAAACACAAGCTAAGAAAAAAAGTAAACATAAAAGTGCATCCAAGTACTGAATAACTTTTGTACAAGCCACTAAATAGTCGAATGTCATTTGAGTTAGCTCCGCGATCTTATTAATATATAATTTCACAGAAAATTCGAAATAAGAATGTAATGTGAACCAGTAATGACGTGTTCTTATGTATGAAACACAGCTACTGTGTTAGAGCGTGAATATGATGCACAAAGAATCGAAAAGATATGAATATATGAACCAACACATTTGATAGTTTTTTTGTGTGTTAGTCACTAAGCTTAGATAAACTATTTATTGGAATCGATCACGTCAGTGTTGATGACACAGGAACTTAGAGATGGGATTCCATAGGTTTCGCAGTACAAAAACAATTCGATTAAATTGAAGGTGTTGACTACTAGATCTTCACACATTAAAATGAAGATATTATACTAAGTAGGACATCTGTAAGTACGGGAAGTACTATACGTTGTCGAAAAGTAAAGTACTTCTGCAAAAGTTTCCGGAGCCTGAACCTTAACTCACATTTTATAGTGAGCTGTTAAAAGTAGTCGCAAAGTTAGTGTACCTGAGTAATTGTGCAAGTGATGGTAATTTTGTGACAAGTAAGATCAGTCTACTTATAGTGAAAACCAGAGCGGCTTATGACGACCCGGGACACATTGAGTATAATCGTGATATTAACTCGGCTATAAAATGTCAAATTTAAAATGCGTCGGTGAGGACAATATCGCCCTATGCCTTTAAAACCTGGTCAAATCGGCGAGTCTCAGGGTTCAATCATCGTTGTGTCCGAAGGACTGATGGAATCCGATGACTAAACCGTGTTAGAAATGCCAAGGTTGAATAATGTGACTTCGAGAGCAGTCACGAAAACTCAACTGGAGTTGCTATATCGACACACTGAATTCGGTAACTTGAGTAGTTTTTACGAATGTTATCTACATAGTGAATTATTTCCTTGCACTAGGACTGAGTGGTGGAAAGCAGAAATGGTCAGTTTATAACAAATAACTGTGGTATAAAAGAAAGTTGTAAAGGACTGGAGGCATCTGTCGGTCCAACATGACTTCCTAGTTGGAATCCTAGAAATCATACAACTCAGTGGCTTAAGATATTATCAGACATTGTTCTAAACAGAAGGCTATGTAGATCCTATCACAGTGTTTTTATTTACACCGTTCACAAAAATGAGAGAAATTCCCTTTACTTGGAAAAATCCATTTTGGTTATATTTTAGACCAAACTTCATCTTTTGTTTGTTGTACTAAGTTAGCCTACTTTATTTCTTCACAACATTATCTCTATATTGTATGTAGTGCATTCTACTAAAAGTACCCAGCTGCGCCAGGTTTTACGTAGTCAATAAATCATAAGATATAAATGTTCAATAGTTTATTCAATAATGAGGTTGTAAGAACGTATCGCTACGCCGTTTCACACTAGGAACAGATGATACACGTCAATTTCTTGGTTTGAACAGTTCACTATGTTGTGTCAGTCCATGATGTAAATCATCTCCAATAACTTGTTATTATATTATTATTATTTAAAGAGAATCAGATAACAAATTGAATGTGATTACACTCATAAAACAATGAATACATTGAATAAGAAAGAAAAAGACTCGTTTGAAACATCATTTACAATGATTATGTTCCATGTAACCCTTGATAATGTGTAATTGTGATATTACAACATATATAGGTAATCATGAAAAATAATGTGATTATATGTAAATGATATGTACTATTGAAACAACAAAATAGTGTACACCATTTTGTGAGGGGGAGAAACAAAACCCACAAAAAAAAAAAAGAAACAACAAAAAAACAAACAAATTAAATGTATTAATTTGATGAATAAGCAAACATATAAAACAGATAAGCATATGTAATTTAGACATAGATCTACTTACCCCATAACAACTGGGAGTTATTGTGTTTTGTTGTAAAGTTATTAATGATAACTTTTTAGTTGGCTAATTTTATGGCATAGAAAATTTATATGTGTGTATAGTTCAATGTTTAACAGAAGGTATATTATAAAAAATTACACTTAAATTATTATGCACTATGAAATGTGATAGAATAGTTGCTGAGTCGATTAAAACATTTGATTTTCGGTTACAGTAACCTCAATTTAGAAACTCACTATATCTAATTCAATTTGATCAACTGGGTATTGGTAATAGAGTAGTGGTAACACTATCCAACAAACAAACAGTATGACGGAAAATCAGGTATATCTACATACAGTTGGTCAGTGAATTATATCAAATTAAAAATTAAAAAAATATAGGTTTAACTATTACACTAGAACAACAGTGATGTGAAATTATCAGGATAAATGCCAGAATACAAAAAAAGTAGTGGTGGTATCAGTGGTAGTGGGAAACATTAAGAAATAGATAATACGACTTAAGAAAAAAGTCACATAAAAAAATTAGAATTTTCAAACTCGAGATCTAAAGGATGACATTGAGCGAACGCACCTATGCCACTGTGATCAATTCTAAACCACATTATCTAGTAACATCTTCAGACATTGGTTACGATAATCGCGAGGACCTCAACTTGTTAATCTTCATTTGCTAGCATTGTTTTATTCAACAGTTAATGCCTCTAAATGCTATGATACAGACAAGGGTAAGATAAATCCTATCTCTTTTGAAAAGTGTTTTCGTACTGTCATATATTTATAGTCACTGTCAAGGAAGTCCTACTCACTACTTTCATGTAGTGAAGATTTCATTTAAGAAAATATGATGGCAAGAAGCGAACGTCCGGTGCTTAAGTCGAATTGGTGGATAAAAGTGGTCTATCTACGGGAATTGGTAAACCCTGATTTCAAAAAACGATATAAATGGGCTCAATGATACCATAGAAACGAATAATGTATGAACCTATTTTGGTCATAGGCCACCATGAAACAATATCTCCTAACGTTATTTCACTATCTTGTGGGTTAGGCACTTGGATTCGGAGCCTGAACATTATCTAGTACATATATAAATTATATTTGCTTGATGCCCAGTTGTACCACCTACTATATGAATTAAACGAACACATAAATCCTGAGCTGATGCCAACTTTTTTTCAACCTACTCTTTCCTGTACAATTAAATATCACAAGTTGTACCTTGAAACAAGTCCTGAACTGGGTGGATTCACTTGATTTTTATTTTCACAGGAATAATACATTGATCTCAAAGGACAACGAGACATTATTAGTAACATAATGATGAAATACGTTTTTGACAAAAAGACTGACAAAATTGTAGGAAGATAAGGACGTTTTAAACAGGATAAGCATTCATCAATAATAGTTACTATATTATTTAGCAGGAAGTAGTATATAACGACTGAATTTATTTACACTGATATCATGATATTTAAACAAGGCTGAGGGGAAGTGGTCAACAGGTTTCATGCTGTTTGATAATCGCCAACAAGATGTACTTGCAATATTGAGGAACGCGATGCTCCCTGGTGGATTGGACCCCGTGTCACTGAGCTTAGTCATCAGAGACGTTACCACTGGGTTGCTTTGGCGGCGATTGACCTCCTGTAGGACCAACCGATGATCAGTCAATTGTTAAAATTCCATTGCATTCTGACTACAATATTGGATTTATTTTATAAATTCATCCAACATATTTTTATAGTGCAGTTATTTAAATGCAACTAATAATCGCTGCAAAGAAAATAGCTGACTTCTCATAAACCATATTATTTTTAATTACAAGCCAGGCTCCATCTTTTATCGTGCCATGTTTTAGTGAACTATGACGTTTTGGCTAGCGGAAGAAGGTAGCGAGCATAATGGTTATCAACTCACGTATCATCAGTAAAAAATCTTCCGATGAGGCACAAAATTTACCTCAGTTATACTGAAGCCAAAATGTAATTAAGATGAGAAATTACCACGAGGGTCGTGTGTATTGCTGAAGAGTCCCGCCCTAGGACAAAACAACCATCTGATACTTCCTAGTTTTCAATGCTTTCTTAACTAAGATCAGTCCGTAATGTTAACTATACAAGATGTATTTAACCAGAAAAAGGTTTTTAATTAAAAACCATTATCAATCAGTTAAATGAGCTCGACTTTCAACGAATAAGTTTCGAGTTCAAACTTTGATCCACTTACTTTAGTCTGAAAAACTTGATAGTATTCCTAATTCTAGCTCGGACAATATGGATCAAATCTAACAAGAATAAACTATTCCTTTTTTAAATGAGTTTGACTTCAAATTCAATTTCATCTTATTGAACATAATTCTTATTTTTAATTCATCTAGTATTCATCAGCATACATACATGTTTTCAAAAATAAACAATATGCACGTCCTGGATTTCATTGCTGACAACCATCTAATTCCACTTATAAAGAAAAAAAACAATTTTCCAGGAACATTAACTTCATCACAAAGCAAACAAAAAAAATGAAAATAAGTTTTACATTAAGAAACCTAAATGTTTCATACAACCCGAAAATGATTTCAAGTACAAAGCGTATTCGTTGGTTTATGGTCATAGAGACTGTTGAGTTTCAATTGAGATCATGAACCAATCAACGTTTCTTTGCGCGAGACCAAGTTTCCTAGGTTCGAGTCCCGCGTCCGGCGTCGTAAATGAGAAATAATAAGGAGACTCATACAAGGGAGAAACGTCTGTCCAGTGCTACTAGGTTTTTAATGGTAGTTTAATATTGATCAGTTCATGATCTTAATTTAAATAGTTAATCAGTTGACTTGCCACTAAAAATCTATTGCTATATTATTGACTTTTAAAGTCTATACACCATATACACAGAACCTGAAAGCGGCTACGATTAGTAGGAATAATAATAATGACAATATATCTTTCCTACAAAACAATTTTCTTTAAATAAATAATTCTTTTGTTTTACCTCATGTAATGGATAAGCAGCTGAGAAAATTCCATCGGAAATCAATTTAGTTATGCCTAGATTTTTTGTCGCCATTACATACAATGAATTTGCTTGATTTGATGATCCTGAATTTTCATCTGCAAGATCATGACTCGTTACAATATCACCTATTTATGTGTTTTAACAAAAATGAAAAACAGATAAGTACATCAATAGTTAAAATAACTTATCCTGACAACTTAACTAACAAAATATAAAGATAAACACTTTTCTTTCAATGTTCAATATACGTGTCATGTATGGCAGTGCTGAGCATTTTGTTTACTTTATACGCCCCCAAATGCCCTGGTACGGCCGAAAAGAGAGTATGATGAGGGGAACTGAAATGTACAACCAGAGGACTTTTTCAGTTAAGAAAGTTATAACAACTCTTTATGAAAAAAGTAAAAGAAGGTTACAGCAGGATCGGCACTGGCTCCTATTCTGAGCCATATCTGATAACGTCTTCGTTTGTGGTCAAACTCACGGTCACCCGGAGTAGACCGACGGGCTTCGACCAGTTGTAAGGAGCCAGAAGAAACCCAGTGCTTATAAGCGGGACGTTTTGCTAAGCCGCAAGCGACTTTACTCGCCATTTTCATGGCGTCATGAAGTTGCAACCAATGCCTTTGACGTAAAGGTCTGGTACACAAGGCAGTGGAGCATCGTGATGAGATGCAGTCCCATGGTAGCCGGTGAACAACAATTGATTCATACGCCATTTGTTCCTTCAGGATACTGGAGCCCATATGCACCATTTGTTTGAAATCAGGGTTTTCTAACTCCCCTAATTGGATTTTCCGTGTCCACTAACCAGTTTAAAGCACCGGACATTCAGTTTTCGTCCACGCACTTTCGTGAACAACGACCCTCAGTCCATGATAGTTGGAAAAATAAAAATACGAAACAAGGAGCTGATCAATGAAACCTTGTAGTTACAAATTATATATATATATATATATATATATATATATAGAAAATCTTACTAATGCTAGGTTCATATAGATCTTCAGTATTCACTAAATCCTCCGATTTATAACCCGTACGCCGTAGAATATGATCTAAGACAAGAGCTCGTTCAACTGCAGTGAAAAATTCATCTTTATTTTCTGGTATATCAAATCTATAAATGAATAATAAAAGATTATGATATATATATATAATGATAAGAGAATGACAACCCATCCTGTAGATTTATATAGAATAGATGGATTGTAGCTAGCATCGGAATCCAGCTCTGCTCTATACAACTTGTGACAAAAAGACTACATTAAATTAACTGGTACAAGATGTAGATATCCCAACAAAGGTTGGTCAAAATTCAGCCCTGAATATCAATCGGATAATTCAAACACTAAACTTCAGAAAAAAAACAATTTGAAAGAACAAATTATATTGAACCCAAGAATTAGAGGAAGGAAAATGGGGAATTTAACCACTGTAACCTTTCAACCAGCTGTCCACTACTTTATTCACTATCTATCACATAAACAGTAAATGGCTTTATAAACTGATAAGTGTATATCTGTAAGTGCGCACGCTTTATTCAACATAATCATACGTCAGCCACTGTTGCACACTTAGATATGCATACTTAACACACGTCCTAACTCCCTCAGTCGATGAGAGTTTATTGCTTCACCAAGAAAATATTTAGCATAAAACATATATATTTGCAGTCTAAAGTGTGTTCATACATCTTCGACTGGTATTATTTAATCTTACTATCTGACATGAAAAAAATAGAAAGTTAAAAGGAAAAGGATCAAAAACATCCAAAATTGAATTGTCTACTTAATAGACTGATTGAAGTGATACAACCATTAGGAATCAAGAAAAATTGGAGAGCTGTTTCGCCCTAGTATAGGTTCAGAAGACTAAATATTTGGCTTTCGCTGCGAGAACTAAGCGTCCTGGATCATAAGCAGAAATGATGGTGGCTAGCAGTGGAATATAGGACATGAGTTTCATTCTATTTGTAACTCGTCAGTTGGGTGTGCCTGCATATCAGAGTTGATGTTCACTCCGGGACTCCAACCCAGTAACGTTTGCCTCAAACGCCATCGAGTTACCCACTTAGATACTGAGTCCTGATAGCTACACGCTTGTACAATGAAATGAAGTTTCATACATCTTTGTACTGATCGTTCGAATTTTCTTACTGATGTTTAGAATTTTACTTGATCAGTTTCTTATTGGCATATATGCTTCCTAAGCGAATTGCTTCGATGTTGCCTTGAGTCATAATCTGTGCTTATAATGTTTGTGACTTGAGGCAATATCGAGGCAATACACACAAGATTTCAGGGGTTTGAACAAACAATACAAAAATGAATTAAATGTCCTGGGTTCGATCCTCGGTGCGATCGTGGAAACGCACTATGTAGAAGTCCCATACTAGGACTAAACAGCTGTTCATTGCTTCCTAGTTTTCAATGATTGTCTAACTAAAATCATTCGGTGATGGGAACCATGATATGCATCAGTCTTCACAAACCTCATGAAGTAAAAATCAACATTTTATTTTGTATATACCTTATAACACTAATAAAAAATGTAACAACTTACAAGTATTGCCTATTCATGGAAAATGGCCAAGTGTAACATGTATCGATTGGTTTGATAATATTTTTGTCCGTTCGTAAACACTTAAGAAAATCTTTAAAAACAGACGTTTTAGGTGTTGGGTTTACCAGCTAGTTAGAAAATTAAAACAAAACAAAGAATCAATGAACAAATAAACGTGTTTTTTCTTTTAAAAAAAGTAGGTAAACTACATACTAATAAGACAAATAAATTGTGACCAGCAATGAAATTCAGGATGCCCATTTCGTCCTACTTGGGACCGATCAGCCGGATGTACCTGAATTTTAGTATCAATATTCTTGTTCGGACTGAAATTCAGTACTTTTAACTTTGGACGTTAACATTCTATCCACTAAGTCCAAACAGCCACTAACTTATTTAAAGGGTGTGATGTTACAAACAAAGGTTTGAGTTATCCCGTTGTTGGTCTTCAGAACAAAACTTTGATTAGTCTTACATGTATCTTGTGGGTTTGACTCAATGTAGTTATTTTGTCCTAAGTTTTACAGAATAGATGGATAGTATAATAGTAGTTGAAGAAAGATCCAATGTAGAAATATAATAAAAATTAATGGATTATTATGTGAGATTTAAGATATTAAAAGGCATTACAATAATTAGAAATTTGACATGGGAAACAAATCATGAAATTTATTTAAGGGAGATACAAATAGAGGATAAAACCCTATTTCTTTTAGTCTGTTGTTTACACATTAGAATATTCGATTACAAAAACTGGAGACTGATAAACAGTTTTTTAAATTACAGGAATAAATCTCAGCGTATAACGCAATGGCATTTGAAGTGACGGATGCTAGGTTTGAATTTCAGTGTGAATAATAATAACACTGAGATGCAAGCATGTCCAGCTGACGAATTAAAAATAGGATAATATGAAAGTCCTGGTTTTCATTTATATCTATTATGCAGACTTATCAAAGTTTTAAATATTAGTTCAAATGATTTTCTACTGATAGCAGTTAGAAAAGAAATGTTTTTATAGAAGATGAAAGAAATGTCGTAAACGATTTAAGCTAATAGGTATGATTCAGATAATAATCGAATAGCAAGATTGTTGTAGATACATGATTTGCTATTTTTCATAAACCATAAGATTTAATCACGCTAACTATGAAACCTTCTTGCGTATATATTTAAACATCAAGATGATTCTTTAAAATACTTATTTGTGTTGTTACTGTAATATATGTTTGACTATGAATATACCGCCAACAATAAATTCACTATCCCTGTTACTGTTATCCGTCACATAATTGATAGATCATGCAAACAATTATATCCCCATACAGCGGAGTTGGAATGCCAGAGATTCAGATAATTAGTTACAATTACGTATGTTATTGAGGTTTGTAATTTAGTTTTTCCAAGTACATGACAAAGAAGCAAGATTATTTCGCAACAAAGTTAACTGATTTGTAATGTATGGACGGTGAAAGGCACATCATTAGTATGTGATAAGTTGAATTATACAACTGTTTATTAAATACCTATTAAAATAAAGCTACAGCTTCTACTAAACTTTTCCTAATCACCCCTCCCCCTTTATTTCTCAATAATGTAGTTATTTGATTATGTAAAGTATACTTTTTGGTTCCTTAATTCAACATGATGCGGGAGGTATAATAATATTCAAAACTTGCATACTATTAACAGTCGAACCATAGAACACAGCAAGAATTTTCATCAAACTGTCATTCTTGATGAGATATTTACTAGACTTTTATTAAATAAGAAATAGACCCTAGTATACTAAACTCAAACCATATTCATCAAAATAAAATGTGACCGTGACAAAAGAACCTTTCTGTAAAAAGGGTTTTGGCGCGTCATATTTAGACACACTAACGCAGAAACCTAGCATGAATTATATACTCGGGACTAATGAGATTTTCCTATGATTTGAAGGCTAAACATGATACCTTTATGTTTAAATCTTAGTAGGTGAAGAAGCTTTTAAAATCGACAGCTCGTTAATTAGACTACAATTTAATTACTGAATGATCCTGTAATATAAATATAAAAGCGTATGAGTTCCATTTATATAACAGACAGTTGAGTTATCAATAAGTTCTTTTCGGATGGTGGACTACACTGAAATTTCAGAATACATCACAATCAATCATTTGATGAACTAAATTGGATAATTGATAATAGCGATCAAACAATACTACTCGGTATAAAAAAATTGAAAAAGACTATAGACATTCATATGATATTAATTACTAGTTGGTTACTGGCTCACTTAAAATAAACATTTTAATTTGTCAGTCACATCCAAACAATGTAGGACCTGGAATAAATGTGGATCGGTTCAATTTAGCACATTCTAGTTCTAGCATAGACCGTACATGAGAAAGAGAGAGGTGGAGTTAACAAAAATCAATTGAAAATAGAGATAGAAGAGAGTTTAGGAAACAGATAAGAAAAAAGTTAACCAACTCGAGTCCTACTGAAATTGGGTCAGTAACTGACACTTTGCGGTTGTTTTATGTTCCTCGGCATCCAATTCAGATATACACACTTCCTATACGCTGGCTCAATCAGCTATACGAGCGAGAAAACTAAGAAATAACCAGAAGGATTTATTTGACAAACTGAATGAATAGACGCACAATTGCAATATTTACCTTTGTCCTTCTAACTCAGACAATAAAATGTACGCTGAAGCCTTAACTAAGAGCCCAACTATAATTTCTCAATTACGATTTGATCTAAAGATAACATGCGAATACTTGTAAGTTATATACCTAAAATTATTTACTCAGTTTATCAAGAAGAACACTTTGTTTTGAGAAATTTGAAGAAATCAGATTAGAAATGTCTCCTGATTAAAATGGCTCAACTGAGTTATCAAAAACAGACGAACCTGGTCACAGCGGCAGAATAAATGCCAAGATTTAGATATAACCTGTGTAGACGCTGACGCTATCAACATTCATAAGATAATCAAACTTGTCAAATTTAACTTATGCCACATATTTAATATAAATGATTTGTATATATAAACAACAACGGGATACACTGAACCCAAAATAAGTTAAAGTGAATAAGTTCATTGTGGAAAGCGAAACAGCATATCAAACTGATCTATAAGTATATATAAAAGTAATACCCAAGATATTATACACAGTTTGTTAAATCATACAATTAGCATGATCATTATCTCACAAATGAAAGAATAAAAAACACAACTGATTCAGTACATTACTGACAAGATTAACTAAACAAAAATAGTTTAAAAACTCTTTCATGCCGATGAGACTGACTGACTGACAAAACTATATTGAAATCTATTGAACAGAACACCAATTCAATGAAAATAATTTAATTCATTCATGTACATAGTATTGTTGAACTTATTAAACTTTTCTTATAGTTTACTATGTCAGTCAGTCACAACGTAGAACTTCGTGCGTACGTACATCAGTTCGAGTTGCCATACCACATTAACACAGAGATGCAGTTGTCGATTGAAATTCCATGGCCACGGTTTGATCTGGCCGCCCCTAGCTTTCTTCCAACCTGCTCCTACACCATAAAGCATTGCACGTCGGGCAGTCGGTGGTTGGGCATACGTAACACGTGACCCAGCCATCCCAACTGATGAAGTTTCACTACTTCATTAATCGGTTTGCCATCCTTATCTTACTCTGTGGAATCATTCAAATCAGTGAGTTAATTAAACGGACAAATTATACAGTAACAGAATAATAATTAAAAATACTACATTATAACAACAACACAAAAGAAAATATATTGTGATCAATAAAGACAGAAGTAAAAAGAAGAGAAGGATAATCACCTATTTCAAAGAACCTTCAAATGTTAAAATATTTTAAACTAATGGAATGACATTATAATATAATATGAAATGACATTGGGACACAAAAGAAAACTGAATATGACTGATAGCGTTTTTCATTGCCTGGCTAGGTGGTTCCAAGAGATTGTACAACTCGGTTACTTGAAACATTAACAGACATAGCTTAGAATAGAAAACATTAATGACTGTGCAGTGGTTTCCTTTTACAATCGTTGTAATAGTAAGAGGAATTGCTTTAGATGAAATTCTTTCTTGATCGTATTTTAAACTGAATTTTATGACGCTTATTGTATACAATTCTTACTCATATATTCATTCTTTATTGCATTCCCTTCCCTCTTCTTTAATTTTTCAGAATGTTATCGCTTTATTCTGTGTAGTGCATACTATTTTTGAAGTGACCACTTGTGCCAGATTTTATGTGTATTATACAAGATAAAAATAAGGATAGTAATAGGTTGAAAAGTCCTCAGAAGAGTCAGGTCAAGATTTGTAGTTCCTAGCCGTTGATCAATACAATATGAATAAGTGTTAGCTAGTAGTTATCATGGTTCCTTCAGACAGAAAAGAGAAGTGGCTGTTGAGCAACATAATGCACAGATGTATCTAATGTTTATTAGTGTAAAAAAATTGAAATATCTAGGCTTATCGTTATTACTTCATCCATATCACTTCAGTTGACATTGATAAGTGATATAGATGCATAAAATATTAGCAAATAGTAAAGTCCCACAACAGGACGAAACGGCCGTCCAGTGCTTCCAGGTTTTCCATGGTGGCCTAGCTTCAATTGACTCATGATTTCAACTATAACAAATTAAATAGTGAAAAAATAGTTAAACACTGACCTGTCATTTTATCAACAACCTACGGAAAACTAGTATTGGTATTATAAACACACACACACACAAACACATGCAAATGTGTACACTGTTCAAGATCAACTATTCGTCAGAAAGCCAACGCATGCATGCGTACATTTACCGTTCAACAGTAAAAAAAATAACACACTTACTTTCCAACCATAAGCCAGCTGAAAAATTTGTATATTTGTATACAAAAAACGACAGCAAAAATATTGAATCAATTGCTAACAATCATTACAGATGAAAATAGGAACAAATACACGTACAGTATAATAGATAATAATATTTAACCCATATTCGGATTCGCAGCAAGAAATTTTAGAAAATACTTTAAAGATAATTTAAAGTATTAGATGTTGTGGTTGAAAATCAACATCATCAATCACTGATTCCAAGATAAACATAAGTTGATCTTAGCTATATCAACATTGAAAATCTAGAAGCAATCGACGGATATCTCGTTTCAGTATGAGACTCCCAAAGAGTGCGCATTCACAAACACACACAAGAATCGGGCCAAAGACCGTCGGTTTTGTGCGCGAACGATTAACCTCTAGACCACTACTGAGTCAGGATCCAACGGTGTTAATGACCAACTTCAATCAATCCGTGATCTTGCGTAACCCTTCATCCATTCCCTGAGGTGGATAACCGTCTTACACCTAACATACATTGAACTCCACTGGTCATAACATTTCACTAGGACTCTGAAAATACTACAAATCCCGTTTAATAATAAATTGATCTATTAGTTTACTGAACAACGACAGACAACCTTGTTTTAAGTACTAACGTTTTAATAAAATCTGTTAACACTTATTATGATAAAAAGGTGATATTCATAGAAAAAATTTATTCCGATAAATGTTCTACCTAGCACTGTTTACCATGATCGAAAATCCTATAAAGAACCAACTGGTAATATTTGTTTAAAGACTAAAGAGGATACTAAATAAGTTATCTTTTTAATAATGTTACAAATTATTTAAAGAATGTATATTTAAACATTAAATAGTAATCATTTCACAAAGTTGACCAGTGGAGTTCAACTAGGTCTGTTGTGAGATAGTAACTCACTGAAGACAATAATGGACGGTTGCTCAATTTCGTGGATTTGTTGAAGTTAGACATTAACACCGTTGAATGCCGACCGGCTCAGTGGTCTATCGGTTAAGCGCTCGCGTGCGAAATTGATAGGTTCTGGATTCGAATCTTGCGAGGCGGGATCGTGGATGCACACTGCTGAGGAGTCCCAGAATAGGACGAAGCGCCCGTCCAGTGCTTCCAGGTTTTCTATGTTGGTCTAGCTTCAATTGACTCATAAACTAAGCAATAGTTGCTAATGTTTGCAGTAAAATAAATCAAATACAAATCAATTGTCCTGTTTGTTTGTTTGTTTTAATTATAATGATAGAAATCATATAATTATGAATTATCTAAATGATTAAATTTAAGCATTTCATCATTGTTTGTTTTTTCATTGAAAAACTTACTTGAAAAACTTTACCGGACTTTAATGTAAATACAATTGGAGTTAGATAAAAAATGAGAACTAGTTAGTGGATATTGAGAAAAATATTGATATTTATTCGAGATATTGAACAATTATTGTTATATCCTAGCGAAGACATAACTTCCGGGACCTATTAATGGACGATTATTCTATGTATATTCTATGTATACAGTTTAACTATTGAGTAATTAGATTATGTATACCTATATTCATCTGATTATAAGCTTCATTATGACCTATAAACTACTATTATACGAACTACTGTTCCCAAATTATGTTCAGTTTATTGATTTCTGTATCCCATATTCACAGCCATATTTAGCTTGATCTTGTACAAATATTATCTATTTTATGGTGTAGTGCGGTCTGTCTGTCTGGTATGAAATCGAGTATGCTTGAAATAAATGATTCGCATAGCAGAAGCTGTAATTGGTTTTCTGGAATCAATTGGAAGCGCTAGGCGGACAAGGGATCAATAAGGATGTTAGACTGCTCATACTGGTCGGACGTTTTTGATTTTGCACAGTGTTAAGGTTAGACAAGTTGTATTCCAATTGGCGGATAAATCATGTGATAAAAGCCGGACATAAAATCATAACAAATAGGCATACAATTATCTTTGATCATCTTCGATGAATAAATGTCTTCAACTTAATTTGGTTAAATTTCATTGGTTAGTTATAGCTTTACATTAAAACTCCGGAGATTACCTCTTCAAATTAGTCATTAATGGAAATATAATAATTATCGGTGTAGAGGGTTAGTAAAGATTTTCAAATGTTACTGAGATCAATAAGTAAACCTTGGTTACACAACCATTAAAACCAGGAGGCACTGTAGAGTTGTTTATTCTTTCTTTTCTAATGAAAAACTCTTCAACAGTGAGTATCCACAACCCAAACGGTGATTAGACCCAGGTCATTCAGATCACGCACAGTGTATGTCTTCTAGACAACTAAGCCAGTATCTAATATTTTATATGTTTAATCTCAGCCAATTCTCATTATTGCCTAGACATTCTCCATTGTCTTCTGTGGGCAACTGCTTCACACTAGACACTTTTGAACTCCAATGGTCATGGATTCTCATTAGAACTCCGGAAATTATCTGAGAACATAATTTTTTAGATTAACATATCCTAATGCTACTAAGTTTGGTCGTTCACTCAAAGAAAGAAATTAGAGACTATTGATTTAGGTTGTTTGGGAGTTTTGTATTAAATGTTTGGAGTTATATACTAGAACTCCACCCTACTTACTGAGACTTGGGTAGCTATCGAGTACCACCCGTAGTGCTAATACAGAGAGTGTGTCACAAAGAATAGTACATAAACCGATATTAAATAAATGAGTTTCATCATTAATAATGTGTGTCTAGAAGTAACGTCACTTTAAAAACTATCGGAAACTAGTATGTAATATACTAATTTTTTTATATTATCATTGCAATGAACAGGAGTAACATCTCACAATAATACAGATTATCACCGAAAAATAAAATATTTCATGGCAAAAGATAAGTTATTAAATTTTGATTGCTTGATGATCACTTTGGTTAATTTAATGGTAAGTAGACTTTGATGTCCAGGTCTTGATCCCAGACATAGTGAAGAGTCTTCACTATAAACAAATCCCAAACTAAGATGGATAAACTGTTCTAGTTCTGTTCAGTTTGCACCTGGGCAGTATAACAGCCCTCACACAAATCAAATGAGATTTGTGCGGCGCATATGTATCTGGTGCTTTCTTGTACCAATATTTATGTGTTTAAATAAATAAAAAATAAATGGCGCAAGATCGAAGAGCAATTTGCTTCTCACGATTCTCCAATTGACGAGTTTAGTTAATGATGAGAACTTCACCAAATAATATTTTGCTGTTATTCATGAACGCGTACAAATCTCTTAAAGTTCTAATTGAAAGAAATCATTTGTATACTATTAGATGGAACTTAATACGCCAGATTCCATTTCAGTGATCGAATATCGATAAGTTAACTCTACCTAGGAAAGGTTAAACTAAGATGTAGCATTAGTTCATGAATTCACTGACTATTGAATAGAACAGTGCTCGGTGCAGAGTACTTGATTGATGACGTCACGATTATGGTAAATAATGATTGGAAATATTGAGCGAAATGGCTCAGAATCCATTTCAATGGAGCAGATGGATTCACTCTTTGTCTTCCTTTAGTTCTTCAGCCTCAAAATCATCTCATACTTTCTATTCTGTCACTTTATTTTCCCTTCTCATATCATTTATGTATTACTATACTTTCCTACTATAACTGATGCCGTTACTATTTCTATTACTCTGGTACTTGTCTTCTTAGCTTCATATGATATGTTAACTAGAACATATATGCCAGGTTCTACTATCCCTACGAATAAATGACCAACTTCACTCTATCATACAAATAAAGTAGTCATAAACTACTCAACGGCAAATTACCAGTTATTTATTTAATCATAATGAATCAAATTAATTCTAAGCCTAAAAGTTTTAAAATGGTCTTACTTTTACATACTATTAAGATTAAATATTGCGAAATAATTATGAAAAATGATGAAATGTGAATAAGTGAATGAATAGTTGACGTACAAAACTTGTATCCTATATGATTGATCTAACTTCTGATTTTGTGATATTGCATAAAAGTGTAAAAGGGCGTTTACTAAGGTTTATTGAAGCCTTAGCCATACAAAAATTCAAACCTCCTTTGTGTATTCAAAAACAGTTTGTTCTCACCTTAAACCTGCCTTGCCAGCTTATTACTAAACAATAATTTCGACAGTTGAATTCATTAACTGATCTAAGCTAGATTACCATTGAAAACCTAGAAGCACTGGATGGCCTTTTCGTCCTAGTAGGGGACTCCTTAGTGATGCGTATCGACAATCCTGTACGCGGGACTCGAACTCAGGACCTTTAGTTTCGCGCGCGAACACTTGACCCTTAGATCCTGCTTGAGGGATCATGGACGCACACCATTGAGGAGTCTCATAATAAAACGAAACAACCGTCTAGTGCTTCCAGGTTTTCAATGGTGGTCTAGCTTAGATAAACTCATGGATTCAACTGTTAAAATTACTATAGACTCAACAAAAATCACCATTCTGATAAATAATAATTAATGTATTTCTTTACCAGTTGTATTACTTCATTAATCGGCAGATTTTGTCGGTAATTAGATGTTATCAACTAAATATGATCGAATATAATTCTATTTATCATTCAAATAATAAAAAGGAGCTCATAACTAATTTAATTGTGAACCATACATTAAATACATTATTTGTATATCTTCCTTCAGTTGTCCTTTACATGCTTCATGGTTCTTTCAACACTGAAGTTATTACAATTGATCTTTGTTTACATTCCTATTCTCTTTAAGTCAATCTTCTGCTGGCAGACATTCCACCTCCAGTTGCTACTACATACTACTTATATCTGTCAGCATAAGTAACATGCACCATACTACTACCACTGCTACTACAACTAAGCTTTGAGCAAAACATTTTATGTGAGGAGTTGATGATACACTCCTAAGTTGCACAACACCGAGTCCGATGAAATGTGAAATTCGGAAATCCAATCTAATGTTGAATATTTGAGTATTTTAACTACTTAATTATCATTCACATTTATTTATTTATTCCACGAGGGTTCGCTGTAAATAATATGTGCATAATTCGATAAAAATTGTATTTTTGGGGGGGGGGAGGGGTATTGTATACACAAATTTGATAATTACTTAAACTCACTTGACGAAGTGGTTTACGCATTTTTAAATATTCTGCATAATATGTCATTGCTTCCCATGAAGCATGTAATTTAACAAAGACTAAATTATCTGGAGTCATCAAAATTGTTTTATCATCTAAAGCTTGTTGACGATAACGATCCATGCATGATGGTGGACTTGTATCTGTTGGTTTATCTGGTTCTATATAATCAATAGATGAATTAGGCATTAAAGATTCAGTATGTTCTTCTGGTTGAAGAGGTGCACTATTTTGTACATGTATAAATGATGGTTTGAGAGTTAATGATGGAAAATCATCTTCATTTGATGCTACAGTAGCACCTAGTAGATTACCATTAGAATCTTCAACCTAAAGAAGATAAACAAATAAAAAAAGACAGGAGAACATTACTTATAAAATTTATATTACTTATGAAATAATGACATATCAACTAAATATATTTGAAAAGAAGGTAACTTATTCTGTTAGAATGAATTTGATTGAGTGAGTTTACTTGAATAACATGTCAATTGGTTTAAAATATAATAACGTCTAGAAAACATACGAAAGTTAGCCATATTCAACATAGAATCTAGCACAAATCGAATCACCACACTAAGTCAGCGAAATGGAGTATTAACAAGATAAATAAAAGAGGAATTACAATCAGTTTAATGGAACTGATGGTGAGATAGACTAAACATTGAGTATATGATTATAAATGAAGAAATGTAAAGTATGCACGAAAGAATTCTGGAACTGAAGATTTAGTGGAAGACAAAGAGTGAATGAATGTTTGCCATTGTAACCAATTCTGACTAATGTTACCCGATGTTTCTAACCTCCGATTTCGGTAACGCGCGTACACCAACCAGGTAGTTTGAATTCGTCAATATGGTTTAGTCTATCAGTCAACAAATTCACGGACTGACACTATTTTACTTTGACCATTCCTAGCTTTTAATCTAACATACTCCTACTCTAGCCCACAGCACGCCGAGGCAGGCAATGATCAGATATACGTAACACATATCTCAGTCGTCCCTGTCGACGAGATTTAAAATCACATTAACCAACATCCCAACTTTGATTGATACTCCATGTCTAACCCAATTATTGTTCACCCAGCCGTTCAATGATACGCAAGTAACTCTTGAAAGACATCGATTAAAAAAACGTATAGTTTAAGCATCTTCTTCTCTAATAAACCATGCTTTACAACTATAGAGAAATATACACCATATATACAAGCGAATGCAAAGCTCTAACTCTGAACAAACAACTGTTTTCTTCTCATTCTACCGGCTCAGTGTTTGAAAAAATTTTGTAAATAACGTTTACCAATTTTTTAAGCAACTCGAGTGGCACAAACGACAGATATCCGAACCAAAAAGTCAATACAACAGAAGAACCAATTCTGACTTGTCGTTGTTAATTACCTATCGGAGTTATAGTGATTATTTGTTTGATAAACAATAGTTGGTTTGTAACAACATAATCAAAATAATGAAAATTTTGCACTATAGTGTCTGTCTTATCAAACAGATACATACGCAGTAAAAGTCAATTTCAAAAGTACTTTTATGATAGACACAAATATCTACTTTGAAAGTATAAGTAATACCATAGAAAGCATTTTTTCCTTTATAACGTGACGGTGTATTTATTACTTTGTCCCACACCCATAATGTATTCAAAATCTTACTTTACTAACTTCTAGTTTCAACTGTCAAAATGTTTAATCACATACCTGTTATCGCTAATTATCATCGATTGCTTTCATTATCTGAACATTAGGGCATTCTGTGTTTACTTACAAGTTGGATCATTCTACTTCGATTGTTTCCCTCTCTCTGATTTTTTTTCACACAAGAGGCTCATTATACTCCTCTTATTATACAACATACTTTCACACTAGACGCAAACCTACCAAAGATTGAAAGTTACAAAATGAACAAGCATGTACATCAAGTATGCAACTACTTGAGTGGATAAAAAAAGAGTACATTCAGTTCTACCCACAAAATAACATCTTTTATACCATAAGAAATTATCTATAGTTTTAATCTGAGTATTAAAAACATTCTTCTCTTCAATAACATATACTAGATTACTGAGCGACTAATCCTACTACTTGCATTTTAACAATGTCTCAATTTGATAATTATCAAATCTCCTTAAAAACATCTTATAGAACATCTGTAAGGTTCATAACACTAAAAATGTTACAATGAAAATTTAATCAAAAAATTATGACCCACAAGATTTATAAGTTTTTGTAACAATTGAATCAGTCAGTCAGCTAAAACGTATGACCAGACACATATATGCATCGGTACAAGTTGCCATACCTCACTCAATAACACAACAAGATGAACACCGAATTCATAGAAGTAGTTAATTTAGTGGTGGTAATATATAAAAGAAAGGTTGTATATAAGGACATAGTATAGGAAAGAAGAACCCCAACCAAGTAGTCCGCATCTACCAACATGGATTAAACTAGAAGTTAGTGACTTCAAGCCCTGATGCCCCCTAACTCTCTTCCAACCATTCCCACTTCCCAGTTGCCCAAACCGCGGAAGGGTTCTTCTAGAGGTACCTGAAAAGGAAATTGGATTAGGAGTGGCCTTAATGACCTGAGAGCGTGACCGCAGTGAACAAGGGACAACTGCTTGAGGCCTGTCACGCACGGCCTTTTTGTGGGGGATTTTTGACGTGTTAGCTCCATTATTCAAAGGACCTTACCGCCGGAGACGGAAATCCGTGGGATAAGGCGAGGTGTGCATTTTTAGGGTCGACCTTTTTTAACCCCACCCCTCCATGTGGGAAGGCAGCATCGCTGTTATGCTGGTTGTTTGAAGGAAACACCTTACTGCTGTCACACCTCTGTACAGTCAGCAGTACGACTTTGCCTTCAGACCTTGGGTTTACTGTTTTTAGTCTTACCGCTCTTCAACCGACCTGTCTGGCATGGTAGGACCTTGAGGAACGATTGTTCCAGTCAGTATAGTTCGATTGGTTCATCACGATAGGGAAGCCCGACCATCACGCCAAGGTAGCAGCAACAGTCGGGAATAATTGAATATTATGAAATGTTTGTTGATATAAACAACCATGAATAACAAAACAAAAAGAAATGTTAAACGAAAAATATACTTATAAGAGGTAATCAATAATATCAGAGAAATATATTTTTGTTTAAGGATAAAGAGAATGGTAATAATTACGATAAATTCACTCTTAATGGATTTACAGTTAGTCTTCTTTATAAAACCTTCATATTACTATGCATTTTCATTGGTAGCTCAAAAACATTCTGTTGTGTGTATGTAAATACACAATGAGTTGACAGTTAATATTCAGGGTTATGAAATGTTTTTGACAGACATGAGATTGTTAGGTGTCTTAAATTTCATTGATTCCTAACACCGAACTAATGTAACCAATTCAAGCACCGTATGGAGGCAAGATAAGAGTCGATTTTACCATATGAATAAATAACTAAAGTATTCAAATATTAACTTAAAGGTCACACATTCTAATACTGCGACAGTATCTTAGATTCGGGTAAAGGGTGATATCACTAACCTCGCTTAAAGAAAGATTCGGCTCAAAATCCGAATATATATAAATATGTAGTTAGTAAATAACAAAAATTAGTACAACAAATGTAATTCCGGTTAACTTCCGATATTTTGGTATTCAAATGATTTGAAAATGACAATCTTTAAAATAATTCCTAGTATATATAATTCTACTTTATTGCCAGTCTCTTATTCTCTGCTACTATTGTCCTTAAAGGATTGTTTTTATGCGATTTCAATGACACATACTTAGTGTTTAAGAAGAGGATTGAACAACAGTTTGATCCAGACAATCTTCAATACTTTTTTTTATTTTTATACCGTATGCGACTTATTCATTTATTTGAACATGTAAACATTGAGCCAAGAGAGCACTAAAATATATATGCGCCATACAAGAAAAATGAGGTTGTGAAGAGATAAATAAAGGAAGATGGGTACAATAATTTTAAAAAAAGGAACAAAAATGGATAGAAATCAGTGTATAGGAGTGAAATAATAATAATAATAATAATAATAATAATAATAATAATAATAATAATAATAATAATAGGAGAAACAGTTCAGTTAGGAAAGATATAACCAAAAAGAATTCTTTGAATTAAAGAAGTTCCTCTCAATTATATGAAGAAAGCAAAAGAAAGCTACAGCCATTGGCTCCTATTCTAAGCCATATTTGCTAACATTTCAATTCACTGAGTTGTATCATTTCAAGGACGACTAACAGGGAGTCATGAATGAGCGACATAATCCAGTCCTGTACAGCTTTCTTTCATACCACGACATCATGTCATTCAATGACTACCTATCCGCTTTCTCCAACCAGTCCCAGAGTTAACCAATTATGCACGATATCAAATTAGATGGCACGACATTCGTAGTGCACGTCCAAGCCACCAAGGTCGATGTTTCAAGGTGGTGATACCAATTAAATTATTGTCGCAGTCACTGAGCACACGTTCCCGAACCTCTGCACTACTAACATAGTGTTAACAATGAATGTCAGCGATCCGTTGGATACAACAGTGGTCAAACACAGAGAGTCGCTTAACATCCTCAACTAAGAAGCCAGGTTTCACAAGCATAGAGAAAAACTCTCACCGACACATTATAGAACCGATCTGATACAGTCAGACGAGAGCACAAGAGATTACCCAGATTGGCATAAGCGGCTCTGGTTTTCAGCATGCGTGAATTGATCTCATCACTTATGCCACATCCGACACTTACGCAGTTACCCAGGTACATGAACTTCTTGACTACTCCTATCTGCTTACTACCAAGAATGAGTACAGATTTGAGGTCCTTCTAGTCTTTTAAAAGTAATTCCCACTTAGAAGGTGAAAAACACATGCCACACTGACTGACAACCGATGAAATAAAGATTTCGTGGCTTGGGTATAATCACACAGACATCTTGGTGCCAGTAACTAAGGTGAGCTAAGAGGGCTTCTGGCAGTTACCAGATGTACCTGCTGCTTCATAGTCGTTAGCACGCCCCAACCACCAGGTTCCTCGGTCCTTAAGCACACTTCACACAGTTTAATTACATAACATTATTCTTCGAAATTGCGGTCACCCGGAGTTAAACGATGTGTCTCAATGAAATGTAAGGAGCTGGCAGAAACCCGGAGTACATAAGCGGGACGTTTCGTGAAGCCGCAAACGAATTTACTAGCAATTTTCATAGCGTCATTAAATTGCAGCCAATGCCCATCTACACTTTTTTGTGAATTGATAACTAGTCTTGAAACTAACTCGGTTCGATATTTAGTTGCAACTGAAGCTGCAATCAATTTGTCGACATCGATCCGTTTAGGGCGATAAATTTGTTGGCCACTGAAGCCTAATACTATCGCGAACAGGGGCATAATCAAAGTCCAGATATGTACTCCAAAAGGAAAGGTAGTCTTGTACACAACCACGCCAGTGGCAGCTAATCGGGATGTGACCAATCTAAGTCCAGTCTCGAGATTCAAAGGAAGGACGCCAGATGGCCCATTGGCGAGTACTGTATCAAAATTTAGTCGTTTCAGTTTTTTTCTAAGTTGCGCTAGACGGTCAACGTTATCTGACCTGTGACCAAGTCCTCATTCGCCACTCAAACGAATCTCCTCTGTGCCTAGATGCCCAACCCGCGCATTCAAGTCTCTGGATAGTACTAAAATATCTTTCGGACTCACTTTCTGTAAAACACTAAACTGTTGGTAGTCATCCTTGCTCTCATCCAGGCTCCAATTTATCGGAGTGCAGGCGAAAACGACGAAAAGACATCGTTTCTCACACCGACTTCTCACTTTTATAGAGCTTTCTAATTTAACAGCACACAATCGACTACTAATGAGTGTCCAATCGATTAGTGCTGCTTCAGCTCTAGCATTTAAAGTGACACCAACACTAGAAGAACCAGATGAAGATATACTAATGGACAGTTAGCTCTTAGTTTATACACCCCAACCCTGTGGAGAAATTATTTGATGCGGACAAGAAGCGACAGTAAGTGCTATCGAATAAAAAAGTTCATACAGTTTAAAATTTTCAGAATTGACGGTTTTTTATCCCAAAAATATATGTTAGTATGTCCTTAAGTGGACTCACGTTACCTATCTATTATTCAAACAACTTATAATAAAGCGAAAATTGTCTATTTAATGGAACCGATAACACACGAATGCTTTACATAAGTACTAAGTGCAAATGAATTTCATGAACGTTATCATCAACTTAGAACCAAACATTGCAATACTTATACGATCACAAATTAGAAATCAAAGACAAAACTGAGCATGTGTTCTTAAGTTTATTGACCCAGCATGACAATTATTGAAGCTAAATGGTGAAGTAATTATATTCAGAAAGCTGAGAAGTTGCACTACCGAAATGTTGTAACAGCTGCTTTTCTTTGGGTAACATTAAAAAAGATACTATAAAAATAATGCTAGATTCTAATGGGACGGTCATAACACACAAAAGCCACCTTGTGGATCATTTACACATGATTTAGAAACTTAAAGAGAGAAAAAGCACTTTTTTACTCACTTCAATTTCGATTTTCTGCTTTGCTAGTTCATTGAGAAACAAGAGGCGTCGACTTTGATCATGATATTTCGACGTGGAAAACCGATAAGCAAGGACATAATCAGTTCTGCGTTTACCATCACGGAAATACAGCTCTGGGTTAGTCTGTGAAAACAATAATGATAATGAAGCTGACATGTTTAAGATCCACAGAAATCGTATACAATAAACAAGGTAGCTGCAACGTTTCACTTCTCTACAATGTTTCACTTGAGGACAATTTATATAAATTTCACCCCATTTTTGGCAATGTATCCACATTATCAACAAAAGATTGTATCTCTGAATATTCCTGGTGACTACATGTAAGTGCAAAATGATTATAAGTGAGAATCTGGAGCATTAGTTTGACATTTCATACATTCTGTACAATTAAAAATGGACAAGTCGTAGATTTTTATTTGTACAATGTGAAATTCTAAAGTCGCAAACCACCTAATTATGACTGTTCCTTGGATTAATGAGACGAGCTTCAAATTTATCTAATGCAATATGCCACGAAGTACCTGATTTCCAGTTGGTTGTATTAAATGAAACTACTCGTTAATGACGAACTTGGTATGACTATCCCTGAGCAAACTAGGGGAGACCTGATGACTTAAACCGGAAAATCCATACAATTTAGACCAATACAAAACTACGTAATGGCTTGTGGTCATTATCTGGCTTCGCTATCACCTTTTGCAACCTAATACTTTAGAAGGAAACACACTGAGTTTGCTAAAGATTGGTGACAAATGTCCTGTGGTTTGGCGATTCGTGAAATCAGCTTTGACAATAAGTTGTGGATTCAAATCCAGCAGCATTACTTGTGTCTGGAAGACCGAGTTTCAGCACAATTACTTACAACTCGTTACTCACAGTAAGTTAGAAAGAAATATTTAGATATTAAGACACAAAAATCAGTCTTCACGAACACGTCTTTTGAAAGACGAAGACTAGATGGATCTAACTTTGTAATTTTCATTAACGTCTACTTCGTTGCTACACCAAACACTATGAATGCTTAAAACATTTTCTATGACAGTTAATCGCTACAATCGTTCGATTATTAACTTTAATCACTACATTAAAGAAAGTGAAAAACTTACAGATGTGTACGTAGACGTTACACAACCGACTTCTGAGTCCATGCGCTACATTCAACAAAAAGCACTGATGATGAATAAATCAGGATAACAATATGCAAAAATGGAAACAGATACAGAGATCTAAAAAACTTTCAGTAACTGATATAACAAACCAATAAAACAGTCAGTTGCCATACTTTTCCACCAAACGCCCTGGTACGGCCAAGAGTGGGGAGAGTCCGCTCTTGATCTACAAATGCTCTCACATGGCCACGAGTATATAGCATCTGACAGGGAAATCCTACTCACTGCCTTCTCACACCAGGGGTGTTGTTTACGAAATTAAGAGGAAGAAAAGCAAATATCTGGCACTTTAACCGTGTCGGTGCACATGGAAAGTCCACCTAGAGGGGAGTTTTGAAACCCTGATTCCAAACCAATGGTGCACATGGGCTCCAGTATCCTGAGGGAACAAATGGTGTATGAATCAATCGTTGGTCACCGACTACCATGGGACTGCATCTCCTCACGATGCCCCACTGCCTTGTGGATCAGACCTTTAGGTCAAAGGCTTCGGGTGTGTCCCCCTAAGGAAACTACCTGCTTCAGGTTGGGCACCTGGGCAGCATCACAGCCTTCACACAATTGAATGAAATGACAATTTTTTTGTGTGGCGCATATATATATGGTGCCTCCTTGGACCAATATTTGTGTTCAAATAAATAAATACTAATAGATATAACAAACGGAATGTGTCTATGAATACATATGGAATGCAGCTGCACATAAAATTGAAAATTCGACGATATGTGACTGACAACATTGACCTGAAGTCATTACATTTGTCGAATGTGAAAATAATTCCCAGAATTAGCTTGTCTCTAGAGTACATTGACTTGCCATTACTAATGTGAATTTATCACTTTACACTAATATATCCCAGGTATCGTCTGCTTGTTCCAAAATCAATTGGGTTAGTATTCTGAGGATAGAAAGTTTTTGGAAATCAACGAATCCGCTTAATCTGAGCAAACATCAACTAAACTTTTTAATGTTTAGTTGAGCAACAGAATGAATGTTTTGAATGTCCCGACTGTATTGAGGAAACGACCAAATATATTTGATTACAAAGAAGCTGATTAATTTCACTAAGTAACGTTGAAATACAGTGTTCTGAAACTGAGGACCCTCATGGGAACATTCAAAACACAGACGATCGCTTCTCTGTAATAAGGATCTACTGAGGATTTTATAGGTATCAATACGATGGTTGGACTTGATAGTTTAATAAACATTGAACTTAATGTAAGTCACTTCTTTAGGGTAGATAAATAACCGAATTCAGTTACACATACCTACGACAGACTATGCTGCTTAATAACCGTCATTAATACAAGTAGAAATACGAGCTATAACTATAGGACTACAATCCAACAGTTGATATCGTAACACCTCAAACTTGGAAAAAAGAAATCTGGCTTAGAACAGTAGCTTTTTAAGATAAATTTATTCTAATACGCAGTAACTCATGGTGAAACGGAGTAATTATTGAGCGACTTGTATTCGTAGAAATGATAAGACTTCACACACTACACCTTGGAAACGATCTCGTTTAAAATAATGTAACCTCAGTTAAAATTTAGGTTCGAAGAACTTTCCTTGCAGCATAGTTCACGTATTTATATGTTAATATACATACCATTATAATAGTATAGTTATATTTCGTAACTTTCCACTCGGCCTACGATTTCACAGATGATGCTCCCTATTAGCAGAATAATTTACAAGCCAGAATTATAAAAAGTGAAGGACACAGGAGAATAAAATAGCAATAATTCGCTTAATAAAAAGGATGAGGTTACACTTAATTTTCCGCCTTGCGATTGTCCTTGAACTTCTTGTATGTAACACTTATAAAGATTTCTGATTCCGTAAAATACTTCAAATCTTCAGAACTATGGCTTTTGGTTTGATAGGTAGAAATAAATGATTCATCTTAACTAAGTCAAGCGAGCACATGCATTGTGAGACTTTTTAAGTTTAGTTTTGAGAAGGTGTAATGAAACAACGGTGGACTTCCTGGCTTTAACTGTGGTTTGATATTACTACTGTATTCTTCCGGCTTTCGCTCAACCAGGCCATTTGTCACAAACGGGTGACTTATTTACAGATCATACAATATCTCAAGGTATTTGTTTCATAGTTATTCATACTATATCTTCATGGGTTTTCTGGAATTTTGTCAGTCTTCAGATGTAAGAATAGTAAATGAAATGATTTGTGACAATCATCAAAACTTGTCAGACTATAAAGACCTTATCCGGACTTAAAATTTTCGGCGAAAGACATTTTACTATACGTTTTGGTTGAGAAACACAGTATATCGAGGCTCTATTCGAAAAATGAACGTTTAAATATAAAACCATTTATTACGGTTTTCGAACTTTCTAAAGATTCCCTCAGACAGTTTGGCTACGACTAGAGAAATGTCTGAAAATTCAGCATTCAGTAGGCCTATACTGTAGTAGCACTCTTTGCCAAGCCCTTTTGCCTGACAGATAATGTTATCAACATATTAATAACTCGTCCATCCCTTTGTATTAGTAGGGTCGCGATCATACCTATGTATAGTGCATTTTCGGAAGCCTACTATACAGCCTATGTAAATTCCTGTCTAACTCAAATGTTTATCGCTTAAATATACTCCTACGTATTATTCTCCTCCCCTCGTATATATGTGTTTGTATTACAAAGACAAACTGTACTTTGATTCATCGTACTTTCATTTGATATAACTATTAATTTGTCGCTGTATTCACTTGCGATGATTCGTTGACCTTTTTTACTTAAAATCCACTTGATGTATTTGTAAACTTGGGGTTCGCGTGATCATCCAATAAATAAGAGTTGCAGTTTCTTCTCTCCTTCTGAATTTAATCCCGTTAGTTTCCAACAGTAATAATTATCAGGGTGAAAGTTTAACGAAGCTATGCGCATCATATTACTACCAGACCTTAGTCAATGGCAACACGACAAAAGTAGATTAATTATTTTAGTTCTATGTTAATGCAACCATTAACAGTGATTTGCAACTATTTAAGAACTGAATATTCACCAATGTCAGGTGTTGATAGAGTTTTATGACCAAGTTGCAGTGCACCGATAGTCTAATCGATTAGGCATCACTTAAATAAGTCATGAAGAAAACGTTCGAATAATTATGTTTAAGTTCGATGTTAGTATTACTGTTGTAGTGACCTACTTTTATAACGAGAACGAGCTTGCCATAATGGAAACAATTATTAATATAACCGACTGTACCAGTGATCGTTTTACTGTACCTACTTGCTTAAGTGTACCAAAAAGCACACTTTTCCGTTGTTTGTGACCTTGCACGAACTCTCTTTCGCTCAGCAATCTTGCTTGTGGATTTCGGCAAGATCTCGGTATTATTTCGATATCGCGAGATCGCCAAAAAATACATCTTACTACAACCTTCAACTGCTTTTTGATATTTGGCCTTCAGACCGGTCTAAACAGGCGACTGTCGCTTGGTTTCTCTATAGTGGTGATCACAGTCGACCACTACTCGACGCCTACCACACTATTATGATAGACCTCACACCTAGTTTCTTCTTTTGTCATGATTTGACTACCTAATCTATAAGATCTTACGCGGAGGCCACATCATTGTCTATTCGAACTCACCCTATCGTATGAAACATCAATATGGCGTCTAACATTTTCAAATAACACATTTTGGCTGCACAGAATGTATTATATTTGGTGCAAGATTCAATACGTTTTACGTAGGGTGACCACGTTCGCATAACTGAGCCATCCCATTTTGAGTGATTTTCCCCGCGTTCATCACTACCGACCACCTCCAAGTGTCACATATTGAATGGCAATCTTCTCAGTAGATATGTGTCAGCTTCGTGAATCGTGTAGTTTGAACCAATACCACTGCACACACTCCTAATAGAAAAGGTCATGCAAGTGGATTTCACCCTACCACTTTCATTCTGACTTTTAAGGGTACCTGAAGAATTAGATATTGCATACAAAGGTATGCATAGTGCTCTGGAGCAGGAGGGTCATAACGGCTAGGTTCCTAACATCAAGAAACTATTTTTAGTTCATTTCCATTCTTTATCATCATTACTGGTCTCTCAAACAAAATCACTTCACCAGTTCTCACATATTCTGGCTACGCCAAATCATGGAGAGCTGTAAGAAACAAGTAGACTGACTTGTTACTGAAAACAGAAAAAACAGAGTAATAGGTTGTGCATAATCAGTAGAAGTTTAACTTGTCACAATGTCGTGTTGTAAACATTCGGTCTCAAACAGCATAAACAGCTTGCGTCCACACAGAAACTCTTCTGTCGAATGTGTTCTCAGAATGCGATCTAAGAATATTTACCGCAGAGAACTTTAACAAAAATTAAGCTATACTAGAGATTCAATCAAGAGAAATGTAACTTTCCACCTCATATGGAAGTAGCTAATCACAATCACCATAGATTTGTTTAAGTCACACATTGAAACGGATCCAAGGTTTAACCCCGAACTCCTCAGACTTTATCGCACCACTCATCAAAAGAGACGAAAGTTAGAGAGTGTCAACTAAATAGGTGTTAAATCTAAGAAATAAATCTTGCGAAAATAAACTTCGACAATCGAACTATTCTAATTCGAATGCACGAATATATGAGATAAACTATCGATAGTACACAACATACTAAATACCACGGGATCCTAAAAAAAGCATTTTACCAAAAATTTACCACCACTCTCTATGAGGTGAACCTCGATAAACTGCGCCTCGACGAATGTAGTTTTTATTATTAGTGATTACGGCGAGACTATAATATATAGTCGAGCCAATCTAAAGCATTTAAGGGATTTCAAGGTCACGGCGCCTATTTAAGTACCTGATGCTCATGTAAAATCGGTTAAAAGAGAATTTTAGAGAAGACTTGGCAATTGAACGGCTACATCAAATGAAACTACTAAGAAATTGCTGTATTTATAATTACGAGTGTTAAATGACTTGTAGACCTTGTGCAGACTACTGTGATGTTGTCCCCCGATTTAATATATGTTGAAGGAAGACTTTTGCTAGGACAGGAACCTTTATCGCTCGATCCACATTGAGACTATGGCATATTATAATAATTGCCGCCAACTGTATAATAAAAGCACCAGTAACATTGGTTGCAATAATCGCAGATGTTACTGAAGCTTCGGCTATTCAGTGGTATGAGTATTGTAGGGACATATCCATAATCAGAATGATAAACTTACACAACCGGAGTACAAACAAACAACAACGAAGCTATGTGGTCGAAGCTGAGAGGGCTTTTGTGACTTTATCATGGCTCCAGAGACCGACTATTATGGAGCCGTATGGATGAGCTCCTTTACATTATGCTTTACGATTTCGGAACCCTTGAACCTTTTTTTTTAACCTTGACAAGTTTTAGAACCGTATAAAAGAAGTGTATCGACTTTAATTATTTGGTTTTGTATAATATATTTTTACTCTATTCTGACTGCTTACTGATTGGCTAACATTTCTTAAGGTCGCGTAAGATTCGTCGAAAGGTCGTCCATAAATTATAGTCTCGCCGTTATTATCTCCTTCCTGAACGCTTTTTCAACTGAAGTGATCACTTCTCCCTCAGTGGATAATCACCCATGAATTTCCATCTCCCAATTCGGAACCCTCACATCTGGTACATGTCTCGTAAATCATCTACCATTATCATCGTAAAATCATCAAATCCTTACTATATTGCCTGTCAACATCTCGGATAACCTTTCATTTCTCACTTCAGTCTTCTCACATTGTCTCCATAACTGAATCAATAAGTTATTTAATGGTTTAGTTCTTGAAACATTCATCGTTCAGCGTTTGAGTGTATTTTTATTACTTTTTGCATCGCAAACAATAAAACTTCTACATGGTAATAGAACAGCTGCCGATATCATAAAATGCAAGTGATCTGAGACAAACTCAATCAAATTACAAGATATACGAATCTAAAATTAAACAAAAAAATTGACTAGAATTAGTGCAGTCAAGTGGCTGGATATGATAATTGGGAGTATTATAATTATTGTACAAACTAGGAATCCCAGAAATAACGTAATTTAATTAAAAGATAGTCGATGAGCGCAAACGAATTTATTGTATTTGTGATGCGAAATCAAGCAGTCATCAAGTATTAACGATTCGTTAGTTCACACAAGCACCATATCCACCACAGCATAAATTGGAGTTTAACTGTCTGTAATCGATTGTACGTCTTAAATTTATCGTGTATCTATCCGGCAGCGTATTCGATAAAGACTCTGTATTATCTAGAATGTACTCAATACTATTATAATTAACAATTGAAATCGGAACAGACTCACGTGGTCCCTGGAATTGTAATTGATCGACATGTCAGTTGTGTATACTGGGGACATTGATATCTATAGATTTCCCAAGTTTTTTCACCACAATCCAGTAGCTGGTCAAAGATTATTTCCACGATAATTTGTAACTTCTGCAGACTCCAAGCACTTCATATTCGAGCGAAAAATTCTTCCTTTTAATAGCTTTGACGTCGTCTTTTTCGTCCCAGAATGTTGAGCACCTCTTTATCACAGTAGAAATGTATGTACTCTCATCTCTAGTTCATTAAATGTTGAAGCAGCAATAGAATCAACAAGAGCTTTCAATGTCCTGACAAAATTTTCTGCCTGACCATTACAACGAGGGTTCCTGGGAGAGGTAAACAGATGTATGTACCCTATGCCCTTCAGCCGGCCATTATAAGTCAGTAACACTATGGGAAACCCTTCTCGATTGAACACCTTTCTTAATTCATGGATCGTGAATTCAGAATTTGGTCAAATTGTGAAAAAACTTCATCCCTTTAAGAAAAAAGAACCAGCGACTACAAGTGGATAGTGTTTGCCAAGAAACGGACCACAATAATCTTCATGAATTCTCTGACAGGCCTCAGACGGTACTGGCGATGGAGTACACGAACTCAATTTCGATCGAACCTGAGATTGCATTTCATCATGATGACTGAGCTAAGTATTAGAAATTTTCATCGAAGGCATATCAAGTTCATCCACTGCTTCGTAGTTAATACATGCAGTCCTAGCATCTTGAAGGGAACAGTTCAGCATTCTTAACAGCCCTCTTTCGAGACCGGGTATGTTAATTCCTGAGATTAATCGAACCCTCAGCTTGACATGAAGTTAATCACCCAAATTGCACTTGGCAATTGTCTTTGTAATTCAAGCATGAAGTCCTTAGCCTTTAAGCTATTCTGGAGAATCATTTTAAGAAATTTTGTTCTCTCACGACATTTAAAACTGGTACAGTTTACGTGATTGAATGGTAGTTCCCTGAGAGTTGTATAAGGAAGTGAGATATGCTTATCTGGATATGCCAAAATTTTTAATAAACTGTAGGCCTTTTTACCGATGAAAATAAGAAAATGTGTCACAATTTTATCAAGCTTCACATCTTTCTTGATCGTGCTACATATCTCAAACCTTTCCAAATAATCCTTAAAAGCTTCAGAAGATGAATTATCAACTGTTTCATCATAGGCTCCATCGCGACACCAATGTGATAATTAGGAGTATTTTAATTATTGTACAAACTAGGAATCCCAGAAATAACGTAATTTAATTAAAAGATAGTCGATGAGCGCAAACGAATTTATTGTATTTGTGATGCGAAATCAAGCAGTCATCAAGTATTAACGATTCGTTAGTTCACACAAGCACCATATCCACCACAGCATAAATTGGAGTTTAACTGTCTGTAATCGATTGTACGTCTTAAATTTATCGTGTATCTATCCGGCAGCGTATTCGATAAAGACTCTGTATTATCTAGAATGTACTCAATACTATTATAATTAACAATTGAAATCGGAACAGACTCACGTGGTCCCTGGAATTGTAATTGATCGACATGTCAGTTGTGTATACTGGGGACATTGATATCTATAGATTTCCCAAGTTTTTTCACCACAATCCAGTAGCTGGTCAAAGATTATTTCCACGATAATTTGTAACTTCTGCAGACTCCAAGCACTTCATATTCGAGCGAAAAATTCTTCCTTTTAATAGCTTTGACGTCGTCTTTTTCGTCCCAGAATGTTGAGCACCTCTTTATCACAGTAGAAATGTATGTACTCTCATCTCTAGTTCATTAAATGTTGAAGCAGCAATAGAATCAACAAGAGCTTTCAATGTCCTGACAAAATTTTCTGCCTGACCATTACAACGAGGGTTCCTGGGAGAGGTAAACAGATGTATGTACCCTATGCCCTTCAGCCGGCCATTATAAGTCAGTAACACTATGGGAAACCCTTCTCGATTGAACACCTTTCTTAATTCATGGATCGTGAATTCAGAATTTGGTCAAATTGTGAAAAAACTTCATCCCTTTAAGAAAAAAGAACCAGCGACTACAAGTGGATAGTGTTTGCCAAGAAACGGACCACAATAATCTTCATGAATTCTCTGACAGGCCTCAGACGGTACTGGCGATGGAGTACACGAACTCAATTTCGATCGAACCTGAGATTGCATTTCATCATGATGACTGAGCTAAGTATTAGAAATTTTCATCGAAGGCATATCAAGTTCATCCACTGCTTCGTAGTTAATACATGCAGTCCTAGCATCTTGAAGGGAACAGTTCAGCATTCTTAACAGCCCTCTTTCGAGACCGGGTATGTTAATTCCTGAGATTAATCGAACCCTCAGCTTGACATGAAGTTAATCACCCAAATTGCACTTGGCAATTGTCTTTGTAATTCAAGCATGAAGTCCTTAGCCTTTAGGCTATTCTGGAGAATCATTTTAAGAAATTTTGTTCTCTCACGACATTTAAAACTGGTACAGTTTACGTGATTGAATGGTAGTTCCCTGAGAGTTGTATAAGGAAGTGAGATATGCTTATCTGGATATGCCAAAATTTTTAATAAACTGTAGGCCTTTTTACCGATGAAAATAAGAAAATGTGTCACAATTTTATCAAGCTTCACATCTTTCTTGATCGTGCTACATATCTCAAACCTTTCCAAATAATCCTTAAAAGCTTCAGAAGATGAATTATCAACTGTTTCATCATAGGCTCCATCGCGACACCAATGTGATAATTAGGAGTATTTTAATTATTGTACAAACTAGGAATCCCAGAAATAACGTAATTTAATTAAAAGATAGTCGATGAGCGCAAACGAATTTATTGTATTTGTGATGCGAAATCAAGCAGTCATCAAGTATTAACGATTCGTTAGTTCACACAAGCACCATATCCACCACAGCATAAATTGGAGTTTAACTGTCTGTAATCGATTGTACGTCTTAAATTTATCGTGTATCTATCCGGCAGCGTATTCGATAAAGACTCTGTATTATCTAGAATGTACTCAATACTATTATAATTAACAATTGAAATCGGAACAGACTCACGTGGTCCCTGGAATTGTAATTGATCGACATGTCAGTTGTGTATACTGGGGACATTGATATCTATAGATTTCCCAAGTTTTTTCACCACAATCCAGTAGCTGGTCAAAGATTATTTCCACGATAATTTGTAACTTCTGCAGACTCCAAGCACTTCATATTCGAGCGAAAAATTCTTCCTTTTAATAGCTTTGACGTCGTCTTTTTCGTCCCAGAATGTTGAGCACCTCTTTATCACAGTAGAAATGTATGTACTCTCATCTCTAGTTCATTAAATGTTGAAGCAGCAATAGAATCAACAAGAGCTTTCAATGTCCTGACAAAATTTTCTGCCTGACCATTACAACGAGGGTTCCTGGGAGAGGTAAACAGATGTATGTACCCTATGCCCTTCAGCCGGCCATTATAAGTCAGTAACACTATGGGAAACCCTTCTCGATTGAACACCTTTCTTAATTCATGGATCGTGAATTCAGAATTTGGTCAAATTGTGAAAAAACTTCATCCCTTTAAGAAAAAAGAACCAGCGACTACAAGTGGATAGTGTTTGCCAAGAAACGGACCACAATAATCTTCATGAATTCTCTGACAGGCCTCAGACGGTACTGGCGATGGAGTACACGAACTCAATTTCGATCGAACCTGAGATTGCATTTCATCATGATGACTGAGCTAAGTATTAGAAATTTTCATCGAAGGCATATCAAGTTCATCCACTGCTTCGTAGTTAATACATGCAGTCCTAGCATCTTGAAGGGAACAGTTCAGCATTCTTAACAGCCCTCTTTCGAGACCGGGTATGTTAATTCCTGAGATTAATCGAACCCTCAGCTTGACATGAAGTTAATCACCCAAATTGCACTTGGCAATTGTCTTTGTAATTCAAGCATGAAGTCCTTAGCCTTTAAGCTATTCTGGAGAATCATTTTAAGAAATTTTGTTCTCTCACGACATTTAAAACTGGTACAGTTTACGTGATTGAATGGTAGTTCCCTGAGAGTTGTATAAGGAAGTGAGATATGCTTATCTGGATATGCCAAAATTTTTAATAAACTGTAGGCCTTTTTACCGATGAAAATAAG